TTTCCTCCCCAGCCCCCTAGTTTCCTCCCCAGCCCCCTAGTTTCCTCCCCAGCCCCCTAGTTTCCTCCCCAGCCCCCTAGTTTCCTCCCCAGCCCCCTAGTTTCCTCCCATGCCTATGTCAGCTTTAGAATATGGGGCCCAAGGACCAGCAATTAACCATCAGAGCAAATAAATGCTACCGGATCAAACAGGACCTTGAGCTAACCAAATCTTGGTTGAAAAGATTGGAAAACATTTCTAATAGGAAACAGATGTGCAGGCTAAGGAAAACTACACTTTATTTTCAGCATTAAATAAGATTGTGCAAAAAGCTCCAAAATAATACTACATAAACATAAATGGACTGGCGGTTGAAGAAAAACATTATTAATTGGAGACTAGACGTACCTTACGGCTATAATAAAATAATAATAATCCTTGCATTTGATGTACCCCATCATCAAGATGTATCAAAGCTCTTCTCAGATGTCTGTGTATTTGTAGGTGAATGCCAATTATTACACAGCAATGTGCCACAAACAGCCATGAGTGACCAATACCAGCTCATGGCAACAAGATGGATTTTGTCTGGTGATCAGGAAAGTCCCCCCCTTCCTCTTACATCAGGTTTCCTGCACAACAGTAACAAACAGCTGGTTTGAAATATAGATATGGATTTATGTCTATGTCAAACATACTGAAGGTGATCAATTCCAAGTCTCCTATGGTGGCTACTTGTGCCAAAGTTGTTGTGGTAAAAGTGTACATCTTAACAGGTGGCTGCATTGTGTTCTTTATCATTTCCAGGTTGATTTATAGTGGAATATGACAATTGGATATGTTTTTATTTACAGTATGGAAACCTATATTGATGTATTTTTGCTAGTGTCTCTTAATTTTACTAATGCCAACCTCAGATTATCATATCCGCTATTGATCCAAAGCTTGGCATACCATTTTTCTAGCCTTACGGTGAACTCTATGATTTATTACTTGACTGGAATCTGACTGTTATGATGGAATTATTGGCTGAAGTAGATGTGTGAGCAGAATGTAGCTCACATGTCAAATGAGAAACTGGATACTGGCTAAATGCAAATGAGAACTTACCCTTAAATGAGCTGCAAATGATATTTTAAATCTAATTTTTACATTCATTTTTCTCAAATAAAACTCTTTAAGACAATTCTGTCCATTTCTTGCAAATCACAGGTTATGCAGAGTGGGTGTATTTCCTAGACAATTTTATACATCAGCAAGGAAATGGAGGGTGTGGGAACTGACAGCTGTTGAGTCTCTAGAATGATGTAAATCCTGAATGTAGGGGCTGGCTGGTGACTGTGAAGAATTATCATCTCACCATTACAATAATAATATTCCTTGCATTTAATGCCTTTCACATCACATTTGTCTCAAAGAATTACTGTAAAGTGTAGTGACTATGCACATATAGGTGAACATGGCAGCAGATGGACATTGAGATGTCTCGAAGCACTTCACAGGATATGCTGGAAAGCAATGTGACTGTGTATTTTGTAGGCAAATGCGTCAGAAAGGTTGGAAGCAGCAATCTCCCACAAATAGCCATAAAATGAATAACAAATCTTATTGGGGAATTGATGGCCAGGACACCAGAAGAAACTCCCTTTTCTTTTGGAATAGTGCCAAGGGATTCTTTAACATCCACCTGAAATGGTAGATGGGACCTCGGATTAACTCCTTAGCTAAGGACTTCACTTCCAACAATGTATTGGAGTGTCAGCCTGGACGATGAGTTCACAATATTTAAAAGGGGCTTGAACTCACAACATTCTTACTCAGTGGAAAAAGTGCTACCAAATGAACCAGATTACAGGACAGCAACTGCATGTTAAGTTAAAATGGGAAATTAAAAGAAGAACAAGATTTTTTTTAGGGGACTGAGAAGCACATCATTACATTTTTTTAACCAACTATTAACAATATAATTTCTTTATTATTGTTCTGCAGCACATCACAAACAGCCAGAAATGAACCTACTAAACATCAGAAATAAGACTTTGAAGTTCACAGGATCAGAAGATTAATCTGGATGAAGAAGGCCCTTTGGTCTATACTATCTCATCCCCCCAGAACACTCACCTTCATGTCCTCCTATCACAGCATCAAGCTGTTTTTTCTGAGTCTAGCCGCTAACACCTTTCCTGGCAACCTGTTCCAATCATTGATTATCCTCTGGGTAAACAAAAACTTTCTCATATCTAACCTGAAGTTACCCTTTATAACTGTCCTTGCCAGACTGCGCTGGCTGCCTGTCCCAGAGAGGATCGATTTCAAGATCCTCACCCTTGTATTCAAATCCTTCCACTCCTCTGCAGCCCCCTACCTCTCTGACCTCCTCTCTCCTCAAAACAGTACCCGTTGCCTTCGTTCCTCTGGGTCGGGCCTCCTGCTCGTCCCCCGAGTCCTCCGCTCCACCCTCGGCGGCTGTGCCTTCAGCCACTATGCCCCGAGGCTCTGGAATTCCCTTCCTCACTCCCTTCGCCCCGCTCCCTCTCTTCCTATTTTCAGGTCTCTGCTCAAGACCTTTCTCTTTGATCGCACTTTTGATCGCCTTCCTCCCCATCCACCTGGCTCAGCGCTGGGATCCGTTACTGTAAAGTGCTCTGAGACGCCATCCAGCATGGAGAGCGCTATATAAATCCAAGTTGTTGTTGTAAACCTATGATCACTTGTTCTACTGTCATGATGCATCCTAAAATATTGATCTGGGTTTACTTTTTCAATCCCATTTAAAATTTTGTACAGTCCCTTCTCAGACATTTTCTCTTAAGACTGAAGAGCCCCCAACTCGTATAGCTCACCTTTGACCCATCTCGTGGCCCAGTATTCAAGTAAAAAAGTGCAATGATTTGAAAAGAATTGCAAAGATTGTATTTTATTTAGTAATAGCTACATCAACCAGAATGTTTTCATTAACATGAGCAAAATGATGGGTCAGTTGAGACACTTCAATTGGACCTAGTTTACACAGAGAAAAGCAACCATGGCTCCATCTCATGATACTGAATTTCATTGGTCAGCGAGGTATTTTACATACATGGAAACCAGTCACCACACCCAGAGCTTCCAAACCAAACTGCCAGTTCTACATAAATACGGGTTTACATGTTTGTTTGGCATAGAGTGCACATTCTCTTCAAGAGGGAGTCAGGCTGGCTGGTCTGTCATCATCAGCACCTAGAAGTGCCTTGGACCTTAATAATAATAATAATAATCCTTGCATTTGATATAGCGCTTTTCACGTCGGGAGGACGTCCCAAAGCGCTTCACAGAATATACTGTAAAGTGAATTGACTGTATATTTGTGGGCGAACGCGGCAGCCAATTGCGCACAGCAATGTCCCACAAACAGTCGTAGATTGAAAATGACCAATTTATTATTGTTTTGGGTTTTTTGGAGGGATTATTATTAGGCGTGTGGAGTAAGGAAACTTGCCCAAGGTTTCGCCCTGCCTGGAATTGAACTCAGGTCTCTCGCTTGCAAAGCGAGTGCTCTAACCACTGAGCTACAGGACCTTCTTGGTTCAAGAACCAGAAGTCCAAGATCACCAGAAAATTGACCTGATTTCAGTATTTCATTATGAGACAAGTCACCTCGCAGCCAATTCAGAACTTAAGAAACTGCCCAAGAACACATCTTAATAATAATAATAATAATAATTTGGTCACTCAATCCTTGACTGTTTGTGGGACACTGCTGCGCGCAATTAACTGCTACGTTTCACCCACAAATATAGTCAATTTGCATTACAGTATATTCTGTGAAGCGCTTTGAAACTTCAAGAAGACATGAAAAATGCTATATCAAATGCAAGGATTATTATAGGATTATTATCCTACATGTGCGAGTTTGAGGTCACCCCAAATGGCCAGCATCTTCCAGGAACTCTTTGGAAACCTCACAACTCAGCACAAGATATGAGAGCATCCCCTCATTTCCTCAACCTGACTAATTGCATTAGGGATAGTCCCTGCTTCTTATCAGTAGGGTGGGAACAGCAGTATCCCACAAGCAGTCGTGGATTGAATGACCAATTTATGTAGCTTAGTGGTTAGAGCACTCGCCTTGCAAGCGAGACATCTGGGTTCAATTCCAGGCAGGGTGGAACCTTGGGCACGTTTCCTTACTCCACACAGAGCCTAATAATAATCCCTCCAAAAAAAACAATAATAAATTGGTCATTTTCAATCCATGACTGTTTGTGGGACATTGCTATGCGCAATTGGCTGCTGTGTTTCGCCCACAAATATACGGTCAATTCACTTTACAGTATATTCTGTGAAGCGCTTTGAGACGTCGAGAAGACGTGAACAACAACAACAACAAGATTCCATTTACAACACAACAACAAGATTCCATTTATTGAGCGCCTTTCACGTCAGGAGGATGTCCCAAGGCGCTGGACAGTTGGGTCAGGACCCGAGCAAGGGGGAAATGGTCAGGGTGAGGGGAGGGAAGGGAGGGAGCGAGGAGGGCGTAGAGAGTCGAGAGGGGAGCTGAAGGCTCGGTCAAAGAGAAAGGTCTTGAGACCGGCCTTGAAGGAGGAAAGGGAGGAGGCGGCGAAGGCACTGGGGGATAGAGTTCCAGAGCCTCGGGGCTGAGAGGCTGAAGGCCCGGCCACCGATGGTAGGGCGGTTGGGGCGGGGGATGTGGAGCAGACCGGAGCCAGAGGAACGGAGGGTACGGGCAGGTAGGTAGGGGGATAGTAGGTCGGAGAGGTAGGAGGGAGAGGTAGGAGGGAGCATTAAAATGAGCCCCAGTGCACAGGGCCACACGACCACATCTCTCCCAAGTTCTCTTTATTTACAAACTTCCTGCAGAGTGGAGGGATGAGCCACCAGGATACAGAGCAGCCCAGGGAGATGAAGGGGGTGGGGGGTGTGTGAAGCTTATCTGTATCAGTGGGAGATGCTGAACACACGTAGAGGAAGGAGGAGCTTCTCAGAGGTTTATTAATGGTAACCCACGACATGCTGAAGCCTGGAGTTTCAGAACCTGCTCTGTGCATCCAGCAGCTGCAGAGCATCTGATGTAGTGAGTAAATCTGCTCCTCTTCTGTCCTGTTTGCGCTGTGGGCTCTGAGCTCTGCTCTGGGCTTTGCTCTGAGCTCTGCTCTGGCTCTGGGCTTTGCTCTGAGCTCTGCTCTGGCTCTGGGCTTTGCTCTGGGCTCTGCTCTGGCTCTGGGCTTTGCTCTGAGCTCTGCTCTGGCTCTGGGCTTTGCTCTGAGCTCTGCTCTGGCTCTGGGCTTTGCTCTGAGCTGTGCTCTGGGCTCTGAGCTCTGCTCTGGGCTTTGCTCTGAGCTCTGCTCTGGCTCTGGGCTCTGCTCTGGGCTCTGGGCTTTGCTCTGAGCTCTGCTCTGGGCTTTGCTCTGGGCTCTGCTCTGGCTCTGGGCTTTGCTCTGGCTCTGCTCTGGCTCTGGGCAGAAACGATATGTGCAACACACCATCCAGGCTTGAAAAACAGACTCTTGCTGGAATGACTCGTGTAACCAGGGCTGGAGCTGCAGCTGCAGCTATCTATAGACGTGCAGCTGTATTGCCATTCTTCTTAAGGAATAATCCCAGTTGCTGGGATCGAAGTAATGATGATTTCAAAAATAAAATTCAATCAAATCTATACTGTATATCGATAGTTTACTGCATTATTTCAAAATAAAACAAATCTCTGTAACTGGGACTATGTGTATATATATATATATGTGTGTGTGTGTGTGTATAAACTGTGGATAAAATAGACTTAAACGATTCTACCTACAAACCATGGGTAAACTGATCTGTCTAGTGAAGCTTTGGTGGTTATTTAGTTCAATTTATCGTTCACCCTGAAATTTAAATGTCATCAATAATAATATAATAATAATAATAATCCTTGCATTTGATATAGCGCTTTTCACGTCGGGAGGACGTCCCAAAGCGCTTCACAGAACACACTGTAAAGTGAATTGACTGTATATTTGTGGGCGAACGTGGCAGCCAATTGCGCACAGCAATGTCCCACAAACAGTCGTAGATTGAAAATGACCAATTTATTATTGTTTTGGTTTTTGGAGGGATTATTATTAGGCTCTGTGTGGAGTAAGGAAACTTGCCCAAGGTTTCGCCCTGACCTGCCTGGAATTGAACTCAGGTCTCTCGCTTGCAAAGCGAGTGCTCTAACCACTGAGCTACAGGACTCCACAGCCCGATTTTATCATGTGGAGGGAGAGAAAGAGAAAAAAGAAAAAAAAGATAGGGAGAGAAAGGAGGCAAGTTAGCTGGTTTGTATCAATGTGATGAGTGCCAGGAATTTAAACAGATTAAAACATCCAAGGCTAATCATGTCCACTTTTTTTCCAGTCTTCTCTCATGTTGAAATGTTTGTTAAATAAAACCTGAGTAATATACAGTGCCTTCAACTTTTTTTAAAAAAAAGAAGGTACAGTGATAGATCTGTGGAGTTGTTTTGTTTAAGTTGTGAGTTAGTTTAAAACTTGGAACAACTTGTAGCTCTTTGTCACGAATTTAGTGCTGATCTCTTGTCTTCGACAGTTGCAAGGATACAACCTTAAACCTTGTAGATAATGTAGAAAAAAAACCCTATTTCCTCACAATCAATTGAATTAATTTAAACTGAGATTAAGTGAAGCGGAGTCAGTTAATGTAAATTTTAGCTGGAGGATCATTGGTCTAAATTTGTGTGATAAACTCTGAGATCAGGAATAAAAGGATTATATTTTAATGTAGAGTTGCTAACATCATAGTTAAGGAAAACTATGCGAAATCTTATGACAACCTGATGAGAAAATAATAATAATCCCTGCATTTGATATAGCGCTTTTCACGTCTTCTAGACTTCTCAAAGCGCCTCACAGAATATACTGTAAAGTGAATTGACCGTATATTTGTGGGCGAAACAGCGCAGAATGGCTTTGATTTCTTTTCAGGGTTGGGATGTGCTCCCAAGGTGAAAGGTGCTATGCAAATGTAATGTGTTGTTGTTGTTATTATGGAAACATGCCTAGACACTCGAACGACCAATTGATTTATTTGGCATTTGACATGTGTTGAGCATTAAATAAATTGCATCCTATTTAAAGATGGAACCGCGGGTATCATTTAAAGGAAACACATTCCTGAAAGCTCAATTTTTTTTTCAACTTAGAATCATGCTAAAGTGAGAGAGAAAATAAAGCAACAAAATGTGGCCTATATCCTAATCCTTGCATTTGATGTAGGGTCTTTCAGGTCAAGAGGATACGACAAAATGCTTTGCAGGATTCACTTTAAAGTGTAGTGACTCTGTATTTTTGTTACCAAATGCCCCACCCAATATGTGCACAGCAATGTCCCACAAGCAACCATGATGTGAATGACTAATCTTAGCTGGAGGATTATTTTAGCTGGAGGTCAGGACATCAGGAGAAACTTTCTTGTCAAGAAGTGCCAAGGCCTGAAATTGATTAATACTATATTGTTAATGAGAAACTGGTTTAAAATGAGACTGAGACAAAGTAACAAAGGGTTGCATCAAGTGGCGTAGCTAGGTAAGGAAATTTAGGTGGGCACCAACTTGTGGTGGACGGACAATGACCAAGGGGGTAGGAAAGGAGTGGAGGAGGGGTTAAGTAGTACACATGTGCCTTCAAGCCATAACTGAGCACTCAGCATGGATGCAAGTCTGCACATGCACACTAACTATACCTGTAGTAAAGGTACACACACACACACACACACGATGGGTGCCCTTGGAGCTCGAGCCTTTGAAGCAGGACGCAACTTCCTCATTGGCTGGAGAGCGACGGATGCACCTGGGTGCTATTTGGGTGGGTGGTGGCCCACCCAGGCCTACACCCTTGATTGGATCTATCTGAGAGATTGGCTTCACCAGTTCAGTTATTTTTTGAGAGGTTTTGTTTTTGGCGATGCAGAAACCCATCACTATTATTAAGAGTTTGCAAAAACAAACCGAGAATTCCTTGCATCCCACCAACACATGGGAAATTCCCGTGTGTTGGAAGGGATGCATCCTGTTTGCCTTACTCCAGAGTGTATTCGGCACAGGCTGGCACGAGCTAAAGCTTGGGGACCCTAGCTCCTAGGAAAACCCACTAACGTCCCCTATCAAGTGAGGATAGATGTATAATGTGGGGAAAAAAAAGATTTCCTCACAATTAATTTGAAAGCAAATTGTTATTGAATAATATGTATGATTACATATTTGTACGATTTGTGGAGTCCTGTAGCTCAGTGGTTAGAGCACTCGCTTTGCAAGCGAGAGATCTGAGTTCAATTCCAGGCAGCGCGAAACCGTGGGCAAGTTTCCTTACTCCACACGCCTAATAATAATCCCTCCAAAACCAAAAACAATAATAAATTGGTCATTTTCAATCTACGACTGTTTGTGGGACATTGCTGTGCGCAATTGGCTGCCGCGTTCGCCCACAAATATACAGTCAATTCACTTTACAGTCTATTCTGTGAAGCGCTTTGGGACGTCCTCCCGACGTGAAAAGCGCTATATCAAATGCAAGGATTATTATTATTATTATTATAGATTTGACTATTATAATGAGAAGAGTTTAAAGGGATGGAAAATATTGCCGTGTAGCATGCACTGCAAAACAATTCCAAATAAGGCTGTTATTGTGGTAGGGCCTCATTTAAATATATGGAAAGGCTTCACAAGATGTTTCTTTTTTTTAAGGATGATCATTTCGTTTGGAGCTCTCAATATGGGCCTGCTGGAAATAACTGCGGTGGTATTCATTCTGACTGCAAATCTGTCCGTTACTAAATCACAGCAAAGTGGTATTGAAACAATTTTATGTGTCTTTAAGCACTGCTTTCTTTATGTTTCTTAGTGTACTAATGAACTACACATGCCGAAGTTTAACCGATGACTTCATTTTATCTGTCTGATTGTGGTTAAAAAAATAAATCAAATTGTAGACATTATTCAGATGGTGAATGTGACTTAGAGATAGTTTTGTTATTAATGTAAACACTGGAAAATAGGAGAGAGACCGCACCAAGTGTCTAACTTCTCCAAATCAATTATTGTTCTTCTCAAGTAGCTGATATATAAATGAAGGATGGCATAATTTAACACATAAGTTTTTGCATTTATATAGCTTGCTTCATGCGGGACAGCATCTCGGAATGCATAACTGTCAGTATATATTTAAAAAGTCACTTAAAACCCCAAACTTTCAGGCGTTTTCACAGCTTATTTGAAAACTTTTATTGAATAGCTTCCACAATTTCTCAATCTTTTTCCTTTGTGAGTGCGAAACTGATCTCTCCGTCCAGTTCCCAGATATCCTGTCTCATCAGCCACGTAGGCTGGAAGGCATGTATCCAATAGCCAACCTGCAATGATACAGTAAAACTCACATAAATCTTCTCTTTACAAATCATATAATCACCTAAGTCGTACATTCATCCGAATCCCATTCAGTTTCCTATCAAAACCTCTTTGCACTACTCGTATTAATCAACTCCTAACTCGTAACGCCGCTCCCCTACTCTTCACTTCTCCTGCCCTTATTGTTTGCTTCGAACATTGGGAAATTATGTCATAACCCGTTGACACATGTGGGCTTACCAGCCGCTTGCATTGGGTGGGAAATGTAGTCTTGATTCGCCAACGCGTGCGCAGAAGAATTTCATTTCTCACAATTCAATGCGATTCCAACGCTTGCCAGTAAGTGCGCATGTGGCAATATGTCACGATGGGAAACGTAGGCTTGACCCGTCACTGCGTGCACACAGACTGGCTGCGTTGAATTACACATGCGCAGTGTTGATTATTGATTAAATCGGATTCTGTACAGTTTGCCTGCAACTCGGATTTGGCATCAGTCATATTAAATGTTGTGGTCCCAGTTAATACGACTTACGTGGGTTTTACTGTATTCTCATTTTTAGCTACCGGAAAATGTGCAGAATTGTAACTTGATAGCCTAAGCAGATTAAGGAACAATTTTGGAGACATTTGAATGAATCAGTGAATGACATGAACCACTGCTTCACAGCCATGACTGATGGACAGACACCCAGTTCAGCATTTCATATGTATGTTGACCTCATGGAGAATCACTAATTTGATCATTAGCGTGAGCTCAATGAATGCAAGAGATGTCAAGAAGATCATCCTTATTGCCATGATAAAAAAACAATTGGCTCCACAAATCATAATTTGCTGACCTAGAGCAGACAGCACAATAACCTTTGCACCCTGGAGCCAGTTGAATATTTCTGTTGGAGACAAGAACAGATTTCATCCATTTTTTCCTTCCTCTTTGAGGAGCTGCCTATTTCTCCTCAGTGGTTCCTTGCAGCATAAAGATAAGATGGTTGATTGAAAATTCATCCTCCATTCCCATGTTACCAGTGATATAGTGACATTGCATTGCTTTGTCCTAGCTATCTTTTTCTGTAGGAGTCTTAATGTCACTCACTAGTTGAGTTAAAAGGAGCCCTGTCACCATGGTAAATGTTCTGCAAGATAAGGGATAAAATTTGTGGTGCTCCTTAACACATTTACAAAAATCCTATCCAAATCAAAGAAAGAGCTATCCAAATCCAAAAGAGAAGATCACAGAGTAACCTGTGACAATACCATAGCACTGAAAGCCATATCTGACACTGAAAGTGGAATACAGTCAAACCTCTTTTCAGTGATCCCTCAGAGGACTGGACCAAAGTGGCCTTTATAGAAACATAGAAAGAGGAGTAGAGCCCTTGAGCCTATTCCTCCATTTTATAAGATAATGGCTGATCTGTAACTCAGGTCCAGTTACCCGCCCTTGCCCCATATCCCTTAATACCCTGATCTTTATGTAAGTATGACCTCTGAGTAAGGGTTCTTTGGTTTGCTGACCAGGTCCAATTTTTTTTTTAAATTTCCACAGTCCAGCAGATTCCACTACAATCCTAGCTCATTTACCAGCGCTGCCTCACTTCACTTAGAACTGTGCTGAAAAGGGTGCCTGTACTCCCAACAGGCTAGAAAAAAGAATGGCCACTGGTTGTGCTAGATAGGTGGTTGCTGAATAGAGGTGGTTTACTGTCAAAATCAGTCGGGACTGTTCCGTGGGTGGTTGTTGACAGCAGGTGGTTGGAAGGGAATTCCTTCTACTTAATAACATCACCACCCTCTTAAGCCAGCAGTTTCTGTTTTCATAAGGTTCTGAATACTTCTCTGTTCTCCCTAAGACCCGCATCACTTGCAGCCAAGAGGGTGGTTTGTGGTTAACTGCAAGCAAGCCTTTGCTAATAGCTTGTAGTGCTAACTGAGTACAGCTTTGTTTTGTGAGCCCATGCCCACTTGGAATCGATTGGAACTGCTGAACTCAGTTTCTGCAAGACACCATTACAGCTCGCTGGCAGAGGTGCTTTTTATCCCTTCAATCTTGAAAACAGGGTTATAGAGGTGAAGGAAAGCCATGTTTAGTGTTCCAAATCCCAAGTCTAATATGTTTAATAAAATAAATATTTAAAAATAAATATCTTTGAAATAATTTTTGTAAATCAAATTGGTTGTCTAATATTTGGATAAATGACATCCATTCATTAATGTCAGTGTTTGTTTTACATGTGAATATTTTCTGTGATAACTCAATTCTTGTTATTCTGAATTGACACTCCAGGTGAAGTTTATTCCGATGTCGTGTTTCTAGTTGATGGATCTCGATATGCGAGACCACCAGCATTTCAAAAAGTAAAGAACTTTATTACGCAAATCATTGACAAGCTGAACATTGTTGAGAACGGTTACAGAATCGGACTTGCTCAATACAGCGGGGATGCCAAAACTGAATTCCTACTGAACAGATTTCAACAAAAGGATGAGGTGATGAATTACCTTAGGAGGAATTACATGTTCAAGGGTGGAGGAGCACTAAGAACAGGGCGTGCTATCTCACATCTGCAGACTAACTTCTTCACAACAGCTGCTGGAAGCCGGCAGGTTGATGGAGTTCCTCAGATTGCAGTAGTAATAACTACTGCACGGTCACAAGATGATGTTGAAGCAGATTCCAAAGCACTGAAAAAACGTGGTGTAAGAATCATCTCAGTTGGTATAGGGAATTCAGACATAAGTGAGCTGGAGAAGATCGCTTTTCTTCCCAATTATCCATTTCTGTTCCAAACATCTGGCTTTGAAAACCTTATTCGTGCATCCGAAGTGTCTAGCGCCATCATGATGATAACACAAAGAGAGTTTCTGCATAAAGAGATCAAAGCACCAGCAGGTAAGATCTGGAGGAATTGAAACTCCTTTCAAAAACCCATCACAATCTAATCCGCTGCCCCCCCCCCCCCACTGTCCAGCAGTCAAATGCATTTCCCACCACTTCTATGGACATATAATTTTCACCTCTCACAACCTTCCCTTTTCAAAATAAAATAAAGCATTATACAATGCAAATTAATATTTTTTTTATATAGCTCCATTCATGTTGAGAAGTTGTCCCAAGGTGCTTAACAATCCTGACCAATTACCCAAGCTAGGGGTGGGAGCCGAAGGCGGTGGGGCAGGGAAAAATGACTGAAAGTGCAGACAAAGGGGTGGATCTTGAGACAGATTTTGAATGACGTGAGGGAGGGGGTGAATTGAAGGGATTCCAGGTTGGAGTTCCAGAGCGTGAGGGCTGAAAGGCTGAATTACCCAATTACCGATGGAGGGGACATGAAGCAGGCCGGTGCTCACTGAGCAAAAGTAACGGCCAGGTCAGTAGGATTTTTGAAGGTCGTAAGAGGGATGAATCCATGGAGAAATTTCAAAGTGAGGACGAGGATATTAAATTTGTATCAGAGTCCGGAGTCAGTCTTCTTAGATCAGATGATCACTCCACTTTATTCTTCCTTTGCTGTCACGAGGATCATTCCGGTTCTCCCCCAAAAAAGTATTGTATGACAAGCATACGGGATAGGTATATACCCCGTACAACAGGGCACAAATGAAATAAAAAATGCTACTAAATGGCAATCAATGGGAAAATAAAAAAAGTTAAGTAAAAATATTGCAGAGCTTATAGCAAGAATGGAGAGGGTGAAGCTGCATCAAATTATATGTCGAAATAAGTGAAAAATAAGATTAGGGGAGCAAGAGAGAACTGGAAAGCAAAATAAGAGTAGATTGAAAATATGATGCCAAAACGTCTTCTAACAGAGCAGACAGGGTATCATTTATAACCCTAAAGGCTGGAAAGGGGGTCAAAAAGAGGTTGCAGGCATATTCAGAGAACTTCTCTTGTGATCTTGAGTGAGTTCACTGAGCAATTGTAAGGACCAATTGCATTTAGCACATGCATACTTAAAGCATTCCTCCTACCCCACTGTTTTTTATTATACCCATTTCAAAATACTCCCTGCCCCCCGACATACATACTTTGTAATCATATTGCTGATTTTGCCATGTCAAGGTAACATTAATAGCAATATAATTAGTGTTGAACAATTCAAGAAAGCAATTTTAATGCTACTAGGCAGATTCTAGGGGAAAAATAAATTGGAAAGGAAAACAATTACAGGAAATGGCAACCTACGAATGAAAAATTAAAATAAATAGTTAATCTGCAAATCTTGGAAAATTAAAAGAATAGAATGAATATTTAGCCATAGTAACTTAATAGAGAGATGTAGACGTTTAGTTACCGAGTAGAAATTGTGTATCTTGCAAAGCAAATTGTATTGTATTACACTCAGTGGCTTAATATTGCTCTCTCTATTTGTAGCATGCAAATCTGCAAACTTGGCTGATATAGTTTTCCTTGTGGATCAATCAAGAAGCATTGGAGAAAGAAACTTTCAACTGATCCGCTTATTTCTGACCAGGTTTATCAATGCGCTGGATGTCGCTGGTGATAAAATACATATTGGTTTGGTTCAGTACAACACTGTTGCATTTCCAGAATTTTATTTTACGACGTATCAGTCCAAGAATGAAATGATCCAACACATTAAAAAAACAAATTACAGGGGAGGGGAAGCAAACACTGGAGCTGCACTTGATTACATAAGGTTGAACTACTTTACACCACATGCTGGTGGTCGAAAGAAGCAAGGAATTCCTCAAATTGCAATTGTGATTACTGATGGAAAGTCCAAGTACGATGTAAAAAAAGCAGCTAGTGCTCTTCGTCGTACCGGTGTTACTGTGTACGCTGTAGGAACAAAAGACGCTAATCAAAATGAACTAAGCAAAATTGCCTCATATCCTTCTGAAAATTTTGTTTCAACTATCGAGAGTTTTGGACGACCATCAAATATTGAAAGGATTCTCCAGAAAAGAGTTTGTGTTGAGATCATCAATCAAAATTCGGTACTGCCTGAGAAAGTAACCCAACTTCAGGAAGGTGAGTATGAATGTGCACAATGTTTCTTTTTTTCCATAATATATTTTTGCAAGTAAATTTATGGTAAAGTTCAGGACCTTCTTTCCCATTTTTGTGTAGTAATAATAATAATCCTTGCACGTAGCATATTTCATATAGGGAGGATGTCTCAAAGCGCTTCACAGGATTTATTGTAAAGTGTAATGACTGTGTATTTTGTACAATTGGATTGTAAAGTAAGTGTCAGACAATCATATTCTGAAAGAATAATCATTAGTATTCTATTTAATGAACCTTTTTTCCTACATTTAGCTAAAAATGTACTTGCTTTTCCTGAAATTAAAGAAAACAATGTCTAAATCTGTTCACATCGCCACAAACACTTACCCTATTGCGAAGCCTTCAGACTCAGGTTGGCAAGAGCCAAGGCTTGGTGCTTTGGAATACTACTGGGGTTTAACAAGCTAAAACCATATAGCTTGCCATTGAATGTACTGTCTGGCAAGCTTCCCACTACTTGGACTACCCTACCCATTAGGGCTTTGACTTGCAGGGTTAACAGGAACTGAGTAGGAAGAATCCCTGCCTGCAGTGACTGGTCTGTCTCTCCAAGACCTAGTGATGAGTCAGGCTGCCTGGACTGTCATTGACATGCTCTGAGTACTAAGGACCCACCTAGCTCAGGCTCTGGATTATCAAGACCATCACAGAGGGCTGGCTCCATTTCGATATTCCATTGCCAAGCACATCAACTTGGAACCAGTTCAGGTCCAAGAACAACAACAAATTACATTTGTATAGCGTCTTTCACATCAGGTGGATGTTCCAAAGCCCTGCTTATCTCCTCCATGCAAAGAGGATTATGACTAGTTGGTCATTTGACTTCTGACAAGTGCAGATTTAAGCCCTCACTCGGTGGATGCTGAGTATCATGAACTCCCTGTGAGCTTTCTGGTGAGCACAAAGCTCAGCATGAAAGCATTGCCACCATCATCAGACTATGATTTAATACACTTGTTTTAAACTAAGTAGGTTTAGACATTCCGGACCGAAGTGTTTGAAAATATGGTACTCAGAAATGTATTATAGTTTAATATATACAATGGAATATATCTGCACATTATTTTTCCCAATTGAAAAAATGTCACTTTGTCTTTTCAGGATGCATGGAAACTGATGAAGCTGATCTATTTTTCCTAATCCATGGATCAGACAGCATAAAACCCGAGGACTTTACAGACATGAAGCAATTCATGTTAGATATTATTCACAAATTCAAGATCGGTGTGGATAGGGTGCGGGTTAGTGTTGTCCAGTATGGGTACGCTCCCCAAACAGTTTTCAGCATCACTCAATATACCACAAACAAGGACGTGGAAGCTGCAATTAAAAGAATGACTTTGATACGAGAATTGCAAACGGTCACCGGGAAAGCACTGGAATTTATCAAGGATCGCTTCAAAGAAATAGATCAGAGTGATAAAAACAGGGCACAACGCTTCCTGATCACCATTACGGATCAGAAATCAGAGGATGATGTTTCGATACCTGCTTCAGAGCTGAGGCAGAGGGGAGTAGTTGTTTACAGCATCGGCGTGGAGAAAGCAGATCATTCTGAAATGTTTCAGATTGCAGGGGACCTGGACAGGATGTTTTACACCGATAACTATGATGCCTTGACAGCCATAAAAAATAAGGTTTTACGGGATATGTGTTCAAAGGAAGGTATGAGATATAGGTTTCTCTTAAGTAATAAGACATTGGTGGGTTTCACTTTTAATAATCTGCAAGGGGGAGATGTGATTGATTGGGGCTGTGTAAAACCTTTTTTTTTCGGTAAGCCATGTGTCCGAGACATATAGATTTCCATCACTATGCTTAACAGTACCCAAACCTGAGAGTTCCACTTATGCATCAAAATATTCATTTGTCTGCTCTAGATTGCACTCTGTCTCTCCACTGGGATGCACCCTGCTGCCTAATCCTGGAAAGTAATAGGTACAGGTTGGTAAGAGCCAATGCTTGAAGACTTCAGAGTGTGCATTGGGATACTATTACCTCTGTACTCATTTACATAGATAAAAAGAGCTGAATAGAAATAATCTATGCTCTCAATGACTGGTCTGCCCCTCTAAGTCTCGCAAACAAGCCAGGCTGGCTGGTTCATCATCAACAGCATTGAAGACCAGTTTGACTCAGGAATCGGACCACCAAGATCACCACAGAGAATTGATTTATTTTCAGTGTTCCATTGCCAGTGTGTCACCTTGTAGCCAACTCAACCCCAAAGAAACCCTATTTACCTGAATGAATGTAAGAACAGCGGTATTTAACATAGATGTTCATCGACATGTATTAGGGTGAAATGGAGACATATGGGGGCAAACTGGAAGCAATTTGATAGAGGGACTCAGAGAAACACTGGGATTTGGTGTGGGTGGGTGAGAAGTCCGGGCAAAGAAGTAAACAACATGGTATATGTGGGGACTATCAGTAGATGGCAACCCCAATTGTGCTGGTAGATAAAACGAGGTGCCGGAAGGGGGATTCAGTGTGTCAGCCTGGAAGCGACAATAAGTTCATAGCTGAATTTCTGAACAGATGGGATAAAGTCATGTGACTTGACTCCAGATCGTATTCGTGGTATCTAATTTTCTTGTCTGATACTTTTCAATAAAGTCAACATAAAGCTTTTTGTAACAGCTTACTCAGTGCTCAGGTTACTACTCCAAGGTGACATGTTTGGCAAGTCAAATGTCAAAATCAAGCCAACCTTCAGTGGCAATCTCGGTAATCTAGTTTTTGAGCCAGGCAGGTCCACAACACTGTTTAAGAAAGCCAAGCCAGTTATCAGGAGGACTTGGAAGGACAGACTTGGAAGCATGGATTCTTCCTGTAATATTACTCGATCCAAATCAAGGGTGTGTCAGCAGCTTCTTTATTTGTCAATTGACACTCAATAATTCACCACTCTAAAACCACACACTCATTCCCATTCTCAGTGTTATTTTTTCCTTCCTGCCCTTCTTCTTATTGGTCCATTTGTTAATTGTCAATTTACTCTTGAAGGAGTATCCAACGCTTCCCACTGAGCTCCCACTAACTTTGCACCTAATACTCTCCGAAATTAGAAAGCGAAGGATTTGTCCCTGTAGGGAGAGAGTGCACACTTCATTCCAATCCAGTATACATCTCTGCAATTTCCATGTGCATGGAATGTGTGGAACTCTCAGTTTGGTTTGGATACTCTAAAGCATGATGATGGATTCCGCATGTGTCAGACACCCTGCTGACCAAGAAAGCTGCTCACATAATGCTTTGTTACTGTTTGTTATAGTTATACTCCCCATCCGCATAAACCACTCAAGTCCCAGAAACGCTGAAACAAACCTGAACAAGTTGAACTGTTGGTATAATGTGGCAACATTGAAAACATAAGCATTTTCCCCACTTTATTTTTCTTCAGCCTGCAGTAAGCTAGAAGTGGCCGATATCATTTTCCTGATTGACGGATCGAGAAGCATTTATTTCAAAGATTTTATCACAATGAAAGTGTTTATGGAGACCTTGATCAACAAAACCCAAGTTGGTGAAAACCGAGTCCAATTCGGTGTGATCCAATTCAGCACACAAACCCAATTGGAATTCCAGCTCAACCAATATTACGACAAAGATAAACTGATGCAAGCTGTTGGTGACATCCAGCAACTGGAGGGGCTGACCAGTACGGGCAAAGCACTGAACTTCACAGCAAAGTACTTTGATGAAGCACAAGGTGGACGGCCCCATGAGAGACAATACCTGATAGTGATCACAGATGGCGAGGCGCAGGATGAGGTTTACACACCTGCCAAAGCCATAAGAGATAAAGGAATTACTGTTTTTGCCATTGGTGTATACAATGCTAACAACAGTCAGCTTGTGGACATTGCAGGCTCCCAGGACCAAGTTTACCATGTGGAGAATTTTGACGCATTGGGCAGCTTAGAAAAGTTAATTTCATTCGAAGTGTGCAGTCCATTGCATGGTGAGTAAAAGCTGCTGTGATTATTTGGTTGCCTAATGGATTCTGAGAATGCAACCTATAGCTTAACAATGTATTCAGAATAGTAACAACTTGCACTTGTCTAGCGCCTTTCTTTCATTTAAAACACTTTAAAGAGCTTCAAAGAGACAAATTGGGAACTAAGCAGAGTGGGAAATAAGGAATAAGAAGGTGAATGAGTGAAGTTGCAGTCAAAGAAGTAGATTTCTAGAAGGGAGTTGAAAATGGAGAGGAAGGGTGCGAGGGGGTTAGATTTAGGGAGAGATTTCCAGAGCATGGAGACAAAGTGGTTGAAAGCTTGCCCACCTTTTAAGGAATGGGGGATGTAGAGCAGGTCTGAGTTAGCAATGTAGAAGGAGTGGGCAAGGCAGTCAGACTGCAAGAGATCAAAGGTGGGGCAAGTGCACGGAGGCATTTGAAAGTTAGAACGAGGACCTTATATGTAGAGCTAGCAGCAACATGTCCAACCAATCTAAATGGGCCTCCTTCACTTTCAAATTAACATTAACAGCTGAAAATTATGCTGAACATTGTTCTCACGTTAGATTTTTTTTTAATTGGGAGAAAAAAGTCAAAGGAAGGCCAAGCAGTTCAGGTAGTGAATGCAAGTTTGCTAATCGTTGTTTATTGCACATTTTCTTCGACAGAGTGCAAGAGAATAGAAGTTGCAGACATTGTTTTTGTAATAAGCGGATCAGACAGCATCGGCGCTGTTCAGCTCGACAGCATGAAGCGCTTCATGATTGCGGTGGCCAACCGCTCAGAAGTTGACGCGAAAGGTGTCCAATTTGGAGTCGTGTTGTACGGGGATTCTCCTCAAACTAAGTTCCAAATGAACGAGTTCCATAGCAAAGCTGGAATCAGGACGGCAATTTCCCAAATACAGAAAACAACAAGCGGGTCTGCGAGCGCAGCAAAGGCTCTAAAACATGCAGCGGGGCTCTTATCTTCAGAAAAGGGCGGTCGGAAATCTCAAGAAGTGCCACAGTTCCTGATTGTCATTACTGATACCAAAGCTGCGGATGCAGTAGATTTGCCAGCTATAACTAAAGGCATTAGAGAAGATAACATTAAAATCTACGGCATTGGCGTTGGTCGGGTAGAACAAAGAGAACTTGAGAAAATCACAGGATCCACAGAGGGAAACTTTTACGCTCAGGACTTTGGCCAATTGCAAGACTTATCCAGGATAATTTCTCAGCTGTTGTGCAACGGATCGAAGCTAGGTAAGCAATTGTCTGAAAGTAAATTGAACACAATGGAGAGCCACGAGACATGGAAGGAACATTTTAAAATTGTCACAGCCGTAAAGTCTTAAAGAACCACAGAACCTCTCTTTGCTTCTGTCAGCTTGGGGCTACCATCCTAGGCTGATATATAAAGTAAAACTAGCATCGAAGACAGAAGCTTCATCACATAAATTCATCGCTCTTACACTTCAAATGGTGACATTTCTCATGGCACTGCGTGCAGCAACTTTGATGTCCATTTATAACAGGATTTCTCATCACAAACACTTAACAGCAAGAAGAATTTCTTATCTGTTATTCATTGAAACTTTCTAAAACATGTAAATGGCTTACATCATAAACAAGTCAAACATATCTGATGGACTGCGTGGTACCCTAATGCACAAAGCACCTTAATTATATTGCAAGCAATTAGAGTGAAGTATGGGTGGTGCAATTTTATTCCAGTGTTTATGGTTGTTATAGTACACATTTGTATGAATATTAATAACAATTGTGGACATTTACAGTATATTCTGTGAAGTGCTTTGAGACATCTTGAAGATGTGATAAGGTGCTATATCAAATCTCTAACCCCTCATCGCTCCCTCCCCTCACCCTGACCATTTCCCCCCTGCTCGGGTCCTGACTCAACTGTCCAGCGCCTTGGGACCTCCTCCCGACGTGAAAGGCGCTCTATAAATGAAATCTTGTTGTTGTAAGTATTATTATTATCAAGAGCACTCGCCTTGCAAGCAAGAGGACCTAGGTTCGATTCCCAGCAGGGAGAAACATTGGGCATGTTTCCTTACTTCGCATGCTTCTGTTTACCCAGCAGTAAGTAGGAACTTGGTCGTTAGTCGACCAGCAGATTGCTTTTCTGGCGGTAATAATCCCTTAAAAAATAATAATAATAATAATTTGGTCACTTAAACCACAACTGTTTGTGGGACACTGCTACGTGCAATTGGCTGCCGCATGTTGCCCACAAAACAGTCAATTCACTTTACAGTATATTTTGTGAAGCGCTTTGAGACGTCTAGATGACGTGAAAAGCGCTATATCAAATGCAAGGATTATCAAAACACAAAATACTGCAGATGCTGGAATCTGTAACAAAAACAGAAGTCGCTGGGAAAACTCAGCAGGTCAGCAGCATCTATGGAGAAAGGAAAGTGAGTCAATGTTTCGGGTCCGCAACCCTTCTTCAGAACTCAAGGATTATTATTATTATTATTATTTCAAATGCAAGGTTTATTATTATTAACCTGAAATCTTCAGATTTTTACAGAATTGATTAGATCTGAGGATTCATGTTTGTAATTTATTTTGTACACCAAACATATCCGCCCTGGATTTTATTAGATCTGTTGTTCTGCATTTGCCTTCAGCCTTTGTTCTGAACAGCTGTACACAGAGTCCCAAACTTATGCAAAGATACAAAGAATGTACTGCATGGGAACAGGCCATTCCACATGAGTCTAAAATAATGCCTATCTGCGAGGCCATCAGCATCCATTTCCCTTTCCAGACTGATCCCAAAGCAAGATTTAAAAAAAACACATTACCCTGATATTTGCCGCCCATATTTAGGGGAAATTTTTATAAGCGCACATATTGTTGGGTCAGGGCTGGGGAATGGGATATTTGGAATCTATCTTATGCTTGTGAATTCTATTATACCAAAGCAGCTAACATTACAAGAATCATTGAAAGTTACCGCACAGAAATGGGCCATTTGGCTCATCAAATCTGAACTATTTATTTTCGTATCATGAGCACATTAATCTAATCTCAATCTCATACTCGTTCCTCATACCCTTTGATATTATTTTCAGGCTTGGATGTTAAGTTCCTTTTTAAAACTAATTGATGTGTACAGCTGTCTCGACAGAACTGTTAGAAGTGACTGATAACATTCATAATTGGGTCAAGAAGGGAATATGTGGCTCCTTGTGTCTGGCGGATTTTATCTTTTTGGTGCTCTTCAAATATACGTGCTGATAATGTTAAGCAGAGAGTTGCACAGCTGTTATGAATCAACATGATGTTTAAAGATATACTGTCAAGGCTGGTTAATTCCTGACTGTAAACATAATAACCGTGCTCAAATTTTTCAAGTGATTTGCAAAAAAAAACCTGTTCAATCGTTAACCGAAATATAAAGGTTTCATGATTCCACGTGACTATGAACAGAATTGTTGAGACTTGAATGTCGGGGTCGATGGGTTTATCTCAATGTGCTGCTATCAAACTTGAACACTTCCATTGGATACAATCCAGAATTCTACGCCCATGAACTTTAGAACTTAATTTTTCTTTCCTTTCTTCATTTTATTAATACATGTGCAATCCTCAGACTGTGAAACTTCTTAACTCCCCCTTTCAAACTAAAATTACAGGGTTTTCAACCTGAGCTTGCTGTTTCTTCAATTTTGAATGGCTCCTGCTTTTGCTTTGCGAAAATGGCTGCTGCTTTTTCCTGCAACAAAATAGTCACTGCACTAAAGCACTACAAGAACATTAATCTTAAAGGAATAAATCAACTCAGACATCGAGAATAGTTTCAGTATTGCAATAGCAATCCTAAACCACTAAAATAATTACAAAAACAGTTTAAATGAAACCACAAACATTTTAAAATCTGATTTTGTACACTGAATTTGTAATCTTATTCTTTTGCAAATTCTTTATTTTAGTTTTGTCGTATTATTTTCTACCTGCCCTAATCTATTCTTCCCTGAATTTTTGGAAACCTTTTGCTGACCTTACCTTACTTTTCTTCTGACCCTCCTTTCTTTTTCCCTCTCACTTTGGAACATCTTTGTGTTAATGTTACCTTGACTGGCTTAGTACTGAACTGCCAGGTGAGATGCAACTAATCCCAAACTATAAATTTGTAGGTTGAGAGGGCAGCCATATAAGACACCACCCCATTGTAAATACATACTGACAAGAGAGAACCCATTAATCTCATTCTTTGAGAATACCTACCATTTTCCCAGTATAACATTAAGATGCTTTATGATTGACTTCATATTTGGGGAGGACAAATTTGCAAGGCTATGGGGTGAGAGCGGGGTGTGGAATTGACTTGGATAGCTCTTTCAAAGAGCCGGCATGGGCACAATCAGCTGAATGGCCTCCTTCTGTGCTGTATAATTCTATGATTCTAATGCCATTTTCTCTGCTACCATTTCTAGTAATTCAGATGTTCAAGCGTTAATTACCACCTATATTAAGAGATATTTCTTGGTATCTGACTTAAAATGATCGTTAATGATCCTGAAGTTTTGGTCTCTTGTCCTGATTCATTGGAACATCTTAAAGTACAGTTCTTGGTTCATTTTCTCAAAAGCATTTAGCATCATATAAACCTCTCTAATGCCCGCTCTGAGATGTCTTTCATCAAGTCAAAATCTTATCGATTGATTTTTTTCATCCCTCTAACACTGGAAATCATCCACTATCCTCTTCTCTGCATTTCGTCTAAAACCCGGTCAGACACTTACTTTGTGAGAACCAACACTGAATATTCCAGGTGCAGTCTAACCAGACCACTCTACGGTTTAATTTTGACTTTGAGGGAACTCAGTTGATTTAGCAGTATTGTCCATCATCCTGTTTGCCCATTTATTGCTTTCTCACATTGTTTGGACAAAGTGAGCGCTGAGCCAACTAACACCCTTAGATCTCTTTCAGTTTCCCTCTTGGTAAGGTCTGTCTTATCCATGGTATTTTATCCATGATGTTTTTGCATCCTATATGTAATAAGTTACATTAATAAGTTACATTAATGTGTATTGAATGATGGCACCTGAAGGATTGAAACAGAATTATTCTAAGCATGCCAGTCATCATTTCTGCAGCATGATAGATACAGTGCCATTAAATTAGTCCCATAAATTGTTTTTCTAGTTCCATTGTTTGCAAGATAGAAAGCCTCCTTTGATAACTTTTTGGGAGCAAGTAAGATCCCACATGGTCATTTCACTCTCAAACTTGTAAGAAAAAAACTTCAGACTTGTGGGAAAAAATGAATATAATAATAAAAATCCTTGCATTTGATATAGCACCTTATCACATCGTTGAGACACCTCAAAGCGCTTCACAGAATATACTGTAAAGTGAATTTACTGCATATTTTGTATGTGGAATTTATATAAGAAATGTTGCCTGGAAAGTAAAAAGTAAATGTTTTTGTCCTTTGATGATCACTTTGTGTTTCTGTGTGTGCACGTTTGCAGCATGTGAGCTTTCAAAAGCAGACATTGTGTTCCTGCTCGACAGTTCAGAGAGCATCAAGAAACATCAGTTCCAGTTGGAGAAGGATTTCTTAAAAGACTTCACAGACATGTTCGAAATTAGTCAAGACAAATTCCAGTTTGGAGTGGCCCAGTACAGCACAAACCAGAAGGCAGAATTCTACCTCAATCAGTATCATGATCGAATGATGCTGAACCGTTCAATCCAGAACATCGTGCAATTGCAGGAGGGAACCAAAACAGGAAAAGCGTTAAAATATATTGATCATTTCTTTCAACCGGAAAAAGGGAGTCGGAAGAAGGAAGGGGTTCCCCAGTTTCTTCTGGTAATTACAGATGGAGAATCTCAAGACGATGTTAGTCTTCCAGCTGAAGCTTTGAGAAGAAACAATATCATTATATTTGCATTGGGTATTGATAAAGTGGAAAAGAAGCACATGGTGGAGATTACTGGAGATCCACAGAAAACATATATCATTAAGGAATTTACTGACTTGAGCAAATTTAAAAAAAGATTAGTGCGTACTATTTGTGTTACTGAGGAACAGAAAGGTAAGAGCATTCTTTTCAGTGAAGCATTGCATTTTTCCATCCAGTCCTAAAGCTTGGTCTTGAGAGTAAACACTCCCTCCTCTGGCTTTGGCACAATGGTTCATGCCATTCTTGTTCCTGATCAAAGTGATCCGTGTTTCAGTGCATCCAGAAACAGGATAACAACAACTTGCATTTACCTATTGCCCTTCACGTGGAGTAACGTCTCAGAGCGCTTAGCAACTCAACACAATGGATAACCTGTGAAGCAGCAGTTAAATATTGACTTCAGGGTTAAAAGAGACAATCAGGACCCCCGAGCCACCATCCTGGGTGGTTCAAAAATATTTTGAAAACTGGCTTTGGACTAGACATTATGCTAAGGTTGTGGAGGGGAAACGTTCACTCCTAAGGCTAACGTTTTAGGAATGTGATATGGATAAGATATGGATAATTTTCAAATCTTTCATGGAGCATTAAACTTTTCACCACATAGTCTCTAGCTCTCCACAACTTTAAAACCAAAGTCTGAGACTTCCATAGCACGGATAGAGCAGGGGACATGGAGTTGGGATTTAGGACAGATATTTGGGTTTCAGTACATCCTCCAACCATTGCCTCTTCTTAGAATTTGCGAAGTTTTCATAAACCTCAAATTGCTCAGCCCTAGTGCCCTTGTCTTGCAATATAAGAACTGCAGCAGAAGAGAGTAGGATATATAATTTATAATAAACACACACGTTTGGTTTAAAAATAACCCAATTTGGATTTTTTGGAGTAAGAATCTCTAAAAATACAACTAATCAACACTCATAAACATTGGCAAGGAATCGCACCTTCATTTAAACAAAATCTACAAAATAACATATAGGACAAATGTATCCAGTCACAGTATTTTAGTGTAAATTGTTTTATTTTAAAAAAATTCTTCTGTCATGTCATGAATTGGTGGCAATTATTCTTTATGAAGTATAAAGCAAATTGCACAGTAGATTTATATAACATCAACATTTATATAACAACAGCAGTAATCGTTATAGCAACCGCAATACAAACAGAACCTTCATTTTCATAACATTTTCATAACATTTTCATTATTTGGTGCCAATGCAAAGCTTTCTTGCTAAATTTGCACAAACTATTTGCAGAGAAAATTGAGCTCCAAGTGACCAAATTAGTGCAGTCGTGAATATAAAAGTCTGATGTTCTCTTACACACTGTTTTACAATCTCTCAATAATTTGTTCAGCTGCACTCTCAGTCCCTGCAGTGTCGACATTCATAGCTTAAAAAAAACTGCATTCGACAGGCTATGGAAAGTTAACAACTCTCGCTTGTATAGATATCTCTTTCTCTCTCTCATATATTATAATTTTGAAAATCGTCACACAGCCCAAATAAATCATAGAGCTGCAGGTTTGTATTATGATATTCCATGGATTCTTCGAATCCCAAATTGCATTGTGTGCTTTAATACTCCCCCAAATAAATGATAATTCCTCAATTCCCCAAACACCGTCTCTATTAAAACCATTAGAAACAAATCATGTATTTTTTTGCATACTATATTTTGTATCATATTTGTGGTAATGTGTTTAGCTTTTACTCAAGTGAAGTAGTGGCTCCTGCCTTTTAATAAGGAGAGAGACTATAAAAATACTGAGAAGAACCATGGGGTTTTAAAGGTTAAAAAATGTAGCCAGCAATTTTGGATTGATAACTTAGAAATTGTAATCATTGGGAATCGGGCAGAAATTTCCAGCTTTCATTTCTTAGTCCTTTCATCTTTGCCAAGAAATTGTGTCAAGAATTTGGGAGCCTTGACACAGATACAAGTACAAACTGAGCCAGATTCATTGAGCCAAATGCCTTTCTCTCATTTCGTACTTTCTTACAACTGATTGATACAAAAACTGATTAAAACAACCTTCTTGTGAAAAACGATATCAAGGAGTAAATCTGCGGTCGTTGTGTTCCAGTTTCACCAGAGTGCACCATGGACATTGCTGTGGGGTTTGATCTCCCAAGGAGGTCAGGAAAACAGACCTTATTCACTGGTCAGATGCAATTACAAGCAAAGATCGACGAGATTCTGTTTATGATCACTTCTATCACTGGCAGCAGCTGTACAGCTGATTCGAAGGCGGACATCAGGCTGGGTTTTCACATAAAAGATCGCAATGGTCTGAATGTTTTTGAAACACAGTTTGAAAACTATAACCAAGAGATTGTTGATAAGCTGAAAGCAATTCAAACAGACGCCAGCATCAATCTAAATGCAGAAACGTTGAAATCATTTTCCAACAAATTCAATACATCAGATGCAAACTCAAAGGTAAGATGCATCTGTCTGAAACTTTATCTAGCGACGTATGCATTGCCTTTAAACCTCAACTTAGTAATGACAAAAAGTGCTATACTCTGGAACCGCATACTGAATTTACAATTAATCCAGTAAGATTATCCTCATATATAAGCATTTAAGGTACAGAATAGCATTTTGCTAATCCTTGCATTTGATATAGCACCTTTCAAGTTGGGAGAATGTCTCAAAAAACTTCAAAACATACTTTAAAATGTATTGACTATATATTTTGTAGGCGGATTTGACAGCCAATTTGCAGGCAGCAATGTCCCACAAATAATTATGAAGTAAATGATCAATTTTATCTGAGGGATTGTTGAACAAGACACCAAAAGAAACTCGCTTTTCTTTTTGAATAGTGCCCAGGGGATTTTTTAACAGCCACCTGAACAAGCAGATGGAACCTCTATTTAACTGTGTATTGCATCCACAAAATATATAGTCAATTCACTTTATAATATATTGTGTGAAGCTCTTTGAGACGTCTCAACGACCTGATAAGGTGCTGTATCAAATGCACGTATTATTATCTTGTCCAAAGGATGACATGTCCAACATTGCAGCACGTCCATGCACTGCATTGGTACGTCAACCTTATTGTGAGTTCAAAATCCCAGTCAGGGGCATCCCAATTGGGGGCTCACAATCTTCTGACTCAGAGGCGAGAGTTCTACAAATATATCATCATGTCATATCTTACATCTAGGGTATGATCAGACTCATATCTTTTGTTACATTTATGCAGTCTGGAATTGACCATTGACTGAGTTGTTACTATAGCAGTCAATGGATTCCAAGATGTACTTTTTCATGGTTTCTTATCAGAATAATTACTTGAACTACAAATAATCAATACTATACTTTTTTGTAGGTGGTGCTAATATTTACAGATGGATTGGACGACACTGAAGTAAGACTCAATGACGCAGCAGAAAAACTCCGCGAGGAAGGTGAATATTCGTACATTAAAACATAAACCTGATACAGGCATTTGTTGAATCTATTGAGAGTCAAATTCCCTTTTGTGTTGGTTCTCTGGTTATCTGGCTCATGTGCAAATCTATCACCACACTTAAGAGTCTCCAAACCAAGTCACTGAGTATTGTCCACATGTATGGTTTCAGTTAGTCTGGCATCCAGTCTGCACTCTCTCCCCAGAAGGATGCACCTGGCTTACTTAAATCAAGAAGAATTAATTCAAAAAACATATGAGTGAATGAGTACATTCATACTAGATGCACATCTCTGAGGTGTGGTGACTTGGTTGTAGCTGATTCTATTGCAGCTTGAAAGTACAGTGCACTCTTCCACTGCATTGAAGTGTCAGCCCAGGCTGTGCTCAAAGTCCCAATGTGGGGTTTCCAGCCACAATCTTCTGACTTGGGTGCGAGTGCTACTAACTCAGCCAGGGTGATATTATGATGGTATTAGAATAATAAAAAAATCCTTGCATTTGATATAGCGCCTTATCACATCTACGAGATGTTTCAAAGCGCTTCACAGAATATACTGTAAAATTAATTGACTGTATATTTTGTGGGCGAAATGCAGTGACCAATTGCACACAGCAGTGTTCCACAAAGAGTCATGGATTGAGTGACCAAATTGTTATCTTTAGTTTTAAGGGATTATTAGCCCCAGAAATGCAATCCATCCATTGATTAACAACCGGGTTTCTACTTACTGCTAGGTAAACAGAGGCGTGTGGAGTAAGGAAACTTGCCCAGTGTTTCGCCTTGCCCCCGAATCAAACCCAGTTCACCTGCTTGCGAGGCAAGTGCTCTAACCACTACGTTACAGGACTCCATTATTAAAGCTATCCTGATGTCTGAATTGTTTTCTGACTGTAATATTGGTGTTCATGTCAGTGTCACAGTGTATGAACTGAAAATCTACAAAAATGGTCACTCAGACCTTGAAGATGCAAATTCAGGGACCCTGCCTGCAGTCTAAGGGTTAAATATGATTTACTTGTTTTCGTTGAAAAAGAGGAGATTTTGAGCTGACCTTTAAAAATTTTACAGAATACCAAGGGCTTAACAAACTTATGTAGATAAATTATTCAGTATAATAAATGATTAAAACTATGAGGACACAAGTTAAAAATGAAAAAACTATCAGGGAAGAAAGTCAATGAGACGTTTCCTCAGATAAATAAATGCATGGAATAAGTTATCAGGGGAAGCTGTTGGAGTGGATAATACAAATTGGATGAAGAGCCAAGTACACATGGGATTGTGGGATATGATGAGAATAACAGCAATAAAAAAAACCCAGATCCTTCAGCACCTTAGAACGTCCTCCTGGCATGAAAGGGGCTATATAAATATACATTTGTTGGTGTTCTTACATGATGAGGAGAATGAAGGGTGGGGATTGAGAATCAGGCTGGTTCTCATGACCATTTCTGTTCCTAAAAATTCTCATGATCCAATGTTTCACTGCTGATTCAGCACTTAACTGTCACAGTTACATGTCATTGGCATTTGTCAAATCATCATTACTGGCATATCTCTCAATTTCTATACCTAGATTTGCAGTTTATAATGAATATTAGGAATCCTGTAGTTCAGTGGTTAGAGCATTCGCCTCGCAAGAGAGTGAATTGCTTTGATTCCCGGTTGGGGAAAGTGTCCTTACTCCACACGCCTCTGTTATACCTAGCAATAAGTAGAAACCCGGTTATTATCTGATTGGCGGATCACTTTTCCGGGGGTAATAATTCCCTTAAAAAATTGTTCACTCAATCTACGACTGTTTGTGGGACACTGCTCTGTGCAATTGGCTGCTGCGTTTCACCCACAATATATACAGTCAATTTACATTACAGTATATTCTGTGAAGTGCTTTGAGACGACTCAAAGACATGATAAGGTGCTTCATCAAATGCAAGGATTATTATTAACATTAATAATAGTTGACCATTGCGCTTGTGGTTTAAACCCAAATTTATTTTCATTTCCATTAGAAAACCTTTTCCTCCTCCCCATTTCAGAGGAAGGCATGTCACCTGCTCCTAGATCTTTGCTCATATCTTGTCTGGAACTGTCCAGAAAAAGATGTATGGAAGACCTGCCCTTACACTGTCACCCTCTTAAGGGTTGAGGAAGCACATGAACTCAGTTCAACTCTCCAGATTATTTTGGCCAAGTTTAAGAATGTGGCCGTGGATATATAGCTACAAATACTATGTTGCTCTGTGACATTGTGATGGTATACTCATTCTGCTAGACTTCCATCTAAATTTATGCTTCATTTTTCTAAATCATTGAAAGCAAATTATATAACTTTGCTGTGAAGGAACATTTATGGCACGGGTCAGTACACATGAAGAAGCACATTTTGGCTTCAGATTCATGCCATAAAATGAATTGCACATGCCCTTAATGAATAATTGGCTGCCGAGTTTCACCCACAAAATATACAGTCAGTGCACTATACAATATATTCTGTGAAACGCTGTGAGACGTCTCGAAGACATGACAAGGTGTTATATCAAATGCGAAGATTAAATCCAAGATTATTATTTTATTACATACGCATGACATTGGGGACTCATGCTATGGAAGTCATGATATTGGGCAATTAGAGGAATGGAGGAATATTTCACAGAGCTTTATCTTCTAACATGTTTCTACTTGTGCTTCGTCAGTTGCATCAGGAGAGTAAAGGACTGATTTATTAAAGTTTGGTGGTTGAGTGTGTTCTGTTTTTCATTTGTCAATGAATCCCATTTTACGCACATTCCACCAAACGTTTGTACATTTTTCAATAATACAGCAACTAAGTCCACCTTAGTGAGGCTTAGAGAAGATCTGCTGGGAGGAGCAGGCTCAGTGAGCTGGAGACCTGCAGGTTTCATAGATTTTCCCTGATTAAATGAGCTCGACCTCAAAATATTCAAAAGATTTTGAAGGTTATAACAAAATAAAAGGACATTTCAACGTACGAGCTATACTTGTAATTGTTCTGTTGCTGAGGTTGGTGACTGGGAAACAATAATCAACTGTAAGGGTTATTGTTTGACTTAATAAACTATATATTGTGTGTAAACAGTCCCAATTTTCCAACTGAACAGCAACATTATTAATACTGTATTCATCAGGACAATGAACTCATAACGAAAGCATTGGTGGCAAATTGGCCGCTACATAAGCCTACAAAACACATAGACACTACACTTCACAGGAAAATCTGTGCACAATTGGCTCCCACGTTTCGCCCACAAAATATACAGTCAATTCATATATTCTGTGAAGCGTTTTGAGATGTCTCAAAGACATGATAAGGTTCTATATCAAATGCAAGGATTATTATTATTACAAAATCTTATGAAACACTTTGAGCCATCCTCCTGATGTGAAAGGCCGTATATCAAATGCAAGGATTGTCATTATTATTACTATTATTATTACACATTAAATTATTCTATGGAGGTAGTTTCTAAGTGGTTTTCAGTGGTAGGTCAGCCAAACCAACAAAACAGCCAGATGATATATGAATGAATAGTACTTTTCTTAGTATGTTTGAACTACCTAAAATAGCTCCCTTTTGCAGGAGATTGATATTTTGTTCACCGGGTATTTTTGTCAAGCCATTTCTGAATTATTATTATTATTAGCATAATAATAAGAGATCATAAAGATGAGGTTTAAAAGTTGAAAAGCCAAACAGAGGTCAGGAGCTAATATTCTGGCTACACCCAACATCAGAGATTTAATCGGTTTTAAAGTTGGCAGATATCTGAATGTGTTCTACATACCCTATTCAACATTCATATTACAAAAGTCAATTGATCTTAGCCTTGGCAGCAGTTTTGGTCACTGGAGTGGGCCTTGGGTCTTGCCAACCTGGGCCTAATACTTTCCAGAATTAGGTAAGCAGGACGTGTCCTTCCAGGGAGAGAGTGCACATTGCAATGCAATTAACAATCTATCTCTGGGATTTCCATGTGTAGGTGGAATGCATGGAATTCTCAGTTTGGTTTGGATACTCTTAAGCACGGTGATGGGTTCCACATATGTCAGACCTGGCAGACCCCAAAAAAGAGTGGGGCCAGAGAAGACAATGTTCCCACACCCAATCGCTAGATCTTCCTCTTCCCTTCTATAAAGTGCTTTCAAGTGGTGCTGTTGGGTGTGGGATGAAAGCAGGTTTGACCTGATTGTGATGCCCCCAGTGAACATCCAAAAAGCCTGACAACCCTCACTACATAGGTACAAAACATGAAGATTGACTACTTGGTCAAGGTGCATGCACTGAACTGTTAACCACATAAATGAGCATCCTCAGGAGAAGAGTATATAAGTATGGATATAAGTACATTATTCTTATGTTCTTTTACACAATATTATAATTTGGGACATGACACATGCATGCAACTGCCAAGATGGTGGAAAGCAAACTGGATGGACCTTGGTCTTCTTTCACCAAGCAAATTCTTATGTTCCTAAAAAAACATAGGAGCTTCTGGGTCTATATTGCTATCAGTTAACTTGAGACTAAATTTGCTAAATTCTTGGTGGTACTAAATTTTTAATGTAAAAGAAATCTACTCTGGGGAACAAATTAGTTCATACACAGTCTGCGTTTGTCCAATCATATCCTTTCACTTACCTCAAGGATTCAGCTGTTCTTAGTGATGCAGAAAATGACTGTTTTTCAGTCGACTCCTAATTACCACTGCATTTAATTCAGTCCTTATGGTACACATTTTTCTGTTGAAGCTATACTTTTCATTTCATTTACCAAAAAAGCATGCTTATGCAATTGCACAATGAGACGGAGGGTTACAATGTCTGCATTGAGTTCCCGATCAGCGGGAGGTTGTGGTAAGACTGCTGTACAGGAAATCCGTCAAAGCTAGTTCAAATTAATACAGTGTCTGTGTGTCGGAGAAGAGATGAAGGTGATCCATTTTCTGGTATAAAGTGGACAAGGCAAGAAAAAACAATTGAAAGGTCATGATCAATTTTTGTGCTCACAGAATATTCTCAAATGTATTATAAATTCCGTTTTATTTAAACTCATAGACACATATACACATAAAAGGAAATGACGGAAACAGGCTCAGAGGTCCATTGTGTTCACTCCTGGGATAAATCTGCCTTTTCACCACCCACTTAACAGTCCGACTGTTCTACCCTCATGTTTTTGACCACCCAGTTTGTGGTTCTCCCTCGCCCGGGTGCTTGTTAAATAACCAGAGTGAGAAATTCAGAAGAATTTTTTGCAGGATGTTTTTAAAATCTCACTATTTATATTGTTGCTTCATTCCAATTCAGAATAATTCTGGAAATGATTCACAGCAGAACTCTATGTATTAATACATGTTCTTTCTGTAAGTAGGAGTCAGTGCACTTATCACTGTGACTCTGGAGGGTGCAGTGAACATTAAGAAGATTTCGCGTATCGAGTTTGGAAATGAATTTGGATACAAACAGCAGCTATTTATTGGAATGCAGGATATTGGAGGTTCTTTGAAGCAAGAAATCGTAAGTGACCATGAGAGACGCAAGAAAGCATTGGATTGTGTGATATTCTGTCACTTTCTCTCAGCACTTGGAATGTTAAAACCCAATCTATCCATTGAAATGTTTAACCACTTGCATTTATATAGCGCCCTCACTCAGGGTAGCATCCCACAGCGTTTGACAGTGGCTGAGCACGATGCCGAGCCCGGGAGAGATGGGAGGTGACCATAGGCACTGTCGAAGAGAAAGATCTTCAGGCGCGCCCTGCGAACCGGGAAGGAGGCGGCGAGGTGGAGGGATAGAGGAAGAGTGTTCCAGAGTTCCGGGGAGTAGTGGCTGAAAGTGCAGCCACCGATAGTGGAACAGAGCACGAGGGACAACAACAACTTACACTTATATAGTGGCCTCCACACAGGTAGCGGCTCAGAGCGCCTGACAAGCAGGAGGCCAGAGCCAGTCGAGGGGAGTCGACATGTAGTGGGTTGGAAAGTAAGCAGGTGGGAGAGATAGGGAGGTGCCAGGGCAAGAAGGGATTTGAAGACAAGTTTGAGGATTTTGAAATAGATCCGTTTTTTGATAGGGAGGCTGTGGAGCATAGCAAGAACCAGTGTGATGGGGGTACGGAGTTTAGTGTGGGTAGGTATGGTTTACTCTTTATCAGGAGTTTGAAATTATTGTTGATACATGATTCAGATATGGGACAGGAATAATATACTCTAAGCAAGAATTGATTATTCCCAGTTTTTATTTGATCATTTGTTTATTTCTTCTGTGCTGTGTTTCAAAACCTCTTTTTCAGAGTGCAATTATGGAAAGAGACTGCTTTAATTTCCGTTGTATTTGCATTGGAGACCCGGGATTGCTTGGTGGTCAGGGATTTAGGGGGCCAAAGGTTAGTTACAATAAGTTAATAGCTGAATGATACAATAACTGAATATAGTTGCATTTTCAGTAACTTCCTCACGCATGTTATCAAGCAAAGGAAGCATTGGCCATTTCATTAAATGCTCAGCAACTGTGTTTCAGGGAAGCCATGGACTAAAAGGAACCCTGGGCTTTCCGGGAGAAGAAGGAGGAATGGTAAGTTGTTTTCTCTTTGCAGACTTTTGCAGGAAATTGCTATATTTTGTATTCCCCATTTTATCTTTATCAAATGGAATGGATGTTTTTTTTTGTTTGTGACCATGCTTTCTGCAGTAAGCCGAGGAGAGTTAATACTCGTACAGATACATGCAAAAGAAGCCAACGTAAGGGTATCACATCATTGAGCCATTAGATGTTAGATTGTAGTTGGAAACTGCACATGACTTCAATCCAGGACTTCAGCACATTAAGTAACTCGAAGTTCACTGTACACTAGGCATTGCAGTCTAAAGAGTAAAACAGATGTTGGTTATTCAATGCGGGGAAGTCACCAGTTTAGGTATTAGAATTCTCTGTCAGGGTTAGCCTCAGCGATCCTGCAAAGTCATTTTAAACTGATACCGTTCTTTTAGACAGAAATTGGGAGTGCATTTCAATTTTGGCTGTTTATTTGCAGCAGCTGAAAACTGAGTCATTATGTTAAAGTCATTTGCTATATTTGGATAATTTTTGGAAGACCCTTCTCCAGAAATCCAACTGTGGTTTTGCCTTCATTTGAACACTGTGGAATGGCCATACCTACTGCATGACATTACAGAAATATTTATTTTGTTATCTTTGTTTAGTCTGAGACAAAATTAATACATTTATAACGTCTGGCACAATTGATAATTCAGCAGCTTCATGCTCGTCCTCCAGTGACTCCGGTGAATTGCTGGGAAAGTGCTGCTTTAGCAGAGCTAGCAGCTTTGGATGAGACGTTAAACCTGCTGTTAAAGTCAGGATGCTTCTTATAATTAACATCAATGATAAGTTACCATATCACACACTGCACGTTCTCTCCCTAAAATGTTAAAAGCAGTCGAGCGAAACTCTGATTATTACTTTTCATTGCATCGGTCTGGGCTGTTAAAAAAATTCGCATTCAATACTAGATCCAATATTCAATGCCTGTCTATGCAATTAAGTGCTAAAACAAGAGCATTTGCTTTTGTTAATATTATTGAGCCAGTTGTGTGTAATGTACCTTGCTCTTCATTAACCTTTGGAGGGAGAAATTCCACGTGTGTCTAAATTTCTTTTGTTAATATCTCAGAGCATCCAGAATTTGGCAAATTCATAAATACAGCCTTAATTTTGAAACCTTTTTACTTGTAAGTTTCTATAAGAAACCCAGTTTAAAAGTTAAGAGTGAATTCAACAATTTACAATTTTCTGACTTACCTACAGACTCTTGTGAGTAAGATTAGGCTTTAGAAATAGTAAAGGATAAATTTATATCATTTGGTAAATTAATTCCCATACACAAAAGTTTTCAATTTGACTTGAATACTTGAGTCCCTCATCCCTCCCCAACCGGGTCAATTGGTAAAGCTATTGCTTTGAGTGAAATGTCCAGACTAGCCTGGAATGTCCAGGATTTTATCTCCAGCCTATGCTGAGTTATCTGAACTCGCCTGGGAATGCAGCAAAGGTGCTACAATTGACCTCAGCACTGAGGAGGCAAAGATTAGTAAGAGTTCCCATCGCTATCCAGCAATCCTACTAGAAAAAGCGAATGTGTGGACATTAAGTAAGAACAGGATTGGGCTTGTCTTTGAATTGTAATTGCTTGAATTCCGCGAGCAGAAGGTAGTGAATGAGCCATATAAGCTGTAAGCATGATAAGAGATAAACGTGATAAATCTAAGATTTTTTAAAAACATTCCAATTTGGGCCCAGTTCGGTTAGGTACAAATTCTGGATACCTGGAGTCCAGTAAGATGGGGAGTTACTGTATATGGATTTTAAATGGGATTGAGAAATTAAACCGAAAATATTAGAGACAGCGCCAAGACAGCAGAACAAGCTGGGACGTCTTGCAAAGGACATTTTTGGAACAGACAACTGGAATGAGTTATAACCCTGGGTGGTTGAGGCCAGGATGTTGGATTCATTTAAGAAAGATAAGATTAAATAGGCTAAGTAGATGCTTGCGGTTTGGTGCGATTAGAAATTGCTGTTTAGTTTCACTGTGTTGCCTTCAACTTCCAATGTAAGCGAATTAGTGAAAGGAGTGATCATGCTAGAGGGAGAAGATTGAAAACCAAGGATATTTAAATTTTTCTCTGAAAAAAAATTCAAGTGGCTACATTCTTGGCAATAGATTGATTGGTGTGAAGGAATGTTCAATAGATCATGAGGTGTCAGCTCAACCAGTCTCAACATGTGGTCTCTTCACCCTGCCAGGAAATGCTCTCACCCAGCATTCAAACCTCTTACAAATCATAGACTTGAAAAGAAAAACACAGCTACTGATGAGCTGCATTCCCAAAATGTTATCCTTTCTTATTCAGACACGGGTTAATCTGCTGTGTGTTTGCAATTTGTTTTTAGCTTCTCAATCATTGTGCATTCTGTGTCAAATCCTTCAGTGTATTTTCAGATGTGATTTAATATGATGCCACACACACTCTGGTTGTAAGAAGAATCCTGTCCTTTGTATTCCATGCCCTTGTTCACACCCAACCATCATTCTCCATCCCGACATCACCTCCAATGCAATCAGATCCCTCGTCCGCACCTTTGTCATTTCCATACATCTCCAACATCTTGTTCGCCAATCCCTCCTAGCATGTCCCAGGTATCTAGCTCTACCCAGACTCAGGTGTCAGCCTGGTTTTCTTGGTAGCTCTCTTGTTTCAGAGTTCCAAGGTTGTGGGGTTAAGCCCACATTGGGATTTTGAACTCATAAACTATGCTGACGTTTCAGTGCAGTGGGTATGCTGCATTGTTTCAAGATGCCGTCCTTTGGATAACCGAGGTCTGGTCTGCCTGTTAAGGTGGATGTTAAAGATCCCATGGTGCTATTTGAGGAAAGAAAAGAGCTTTTCTCTGTGTCCCGGCCACCAGATATTCACTTCATGGCTGTTCCTGAGTTATTGCTGTGTGTAAATTGGCTGCCGAATTTATCAACAAATGCAGTCACTACACTTTTCAGTAAAATCTTGTGAAGAGCTGTGAGGCATTTTGACAATGTGATTAAGTGCAATATCAAATTAGCCCAGTCCACCCCACCATTAATGGGTGCGTTTTCAAACCCTTTGTTCCACTCTCTGGGATTCTCTTCCTAAATCTCTCTATTTCCTTCACTCGGCTTTCAAACTCCATATTTGTCTGCGCCTCTGGCCACCTTCTGCCTATCCTCTCACCCTGCTGGGACTCCCACCCTGTCTCTGTAAAGCACTTCACTTAACAGATAAATAAGCAACTGTTTTAACTGATTCGAATATGTGTTAATAGACTGGGAAGAAGTCAATGTGGGTACAAATTGGAAGCAGATTGAAGAACTCAAGTGCACTAAATTAGATCGATTCGGTTTCTTTTTAATCTCTTCAAAAGAACCGAATTAAGACAATTACAAGATCACAAGAGAGGTTTAGAAGAACTACATTGAGCTCATTTCATAGTCATCTTACCAGAATATCCATCCTACACATTCCCATTACAGCATCTGTTTCTTAAATTAATTCAGTGTCTTGGCTTCTGCCTCACTACCAAGGAACCTGTTCCAGCAGCTGAAACTTGCAGCATGCCGCCCGCATGACTATTTTACACATGTATAATGCAGCCCAGATGTGGCCTGCTGGCCGCATATTGGCCATCCCTTGTTCTCTTATGAGAGATCTCTTTTCAAGACTGAATAATAATAATAATAATCCTTGCATTTGATATTGCGCTTTTCAAGTCTTCTAGACATCCCAAAGCGCTTCACACAATATACTGTAAAGTGAATTGACTGTATATTTGTGGGCGAACGCAGCAGCCAATTGCGCACAGCAATGTCCCACAAACAGTCATGGATTGAAAATGACCGATTTATTATTGTTTTTGTTTTTTGGAAGGATTATTATTAGGTGTGTGGAGTAAAGAAACTTGCCCAAGGTTTCGCCCTGCCTGGAATTGAACTCAGGTCTCCCACTTGCAAAGCGAGTGCTCTAACCACTGAGCTACAGGACTCCACACCTAGCTTATCCACTTGTTCCTCATAGTTTATCTATCCAACATTGATGATCAGTCTTGTTGTTCGCCTCTGCACAGCCCCTAAAACCTGAACGATCCCTTTTTCAAAAGATCACAAGGTTCAAGTGAAGAAGGCCCTTTGATGCATTTAATCATGTCTCTCCATAATATCCAATGTACCTTCTTACCCTTTTTTAAAAAAAAATCCAATATTCTGGCCTTAACCAATCTTCCTGGTAACTCGTGTCAGTTGTTTATTTCCCACTGGATACAGAAATATTTCCTGGTGACAGTCCTGAAATTGCACTTTACAATCCTAAACTTGTGTCCTCTTGGAATGTTGTGTCGGTGATGCAGTGTGAGTGCTCCTTAACACAACACTACGCTTTTTGCAAGTCTTCTGGAGATTTGAATAGTACAGATTTGGCAATGATATTCAGCATTCTGAAGGAAAAAAGGGCAAGGTTATTCTTCATATAAGCATCCAATGTCTGGGGCGTTGTATTAATCTGTGGTCTGATGTAGATGAGTTCATGCTGTAACTTGAAGAAAACAATGAACGAATATTGTGCTTTTTGCAGGGTGAGAGAGGGCCCCCAGGTTTCAATGGGACTCGAGGAGTTCAAGGATGCCCAGGTCCCAGAGGCCCCAAGGCAAGAAATATTTCAATCTGTGTAATTTATATTAATAACATTTAACAAACATAACTATCTTTTGGAATACAGTTAAACTCAATCATATTAGGCGGGCCCATAACATTTAACATGACTTAAAATTCAGGCAAACTTGTGTAAGTCGTATAAAATTAGCTGTAATCAATAATCTACACTTTGCATGCGCAATTCAGTGCAACCGATAAATGTGATTGCGGTAGTTTGTCAATGCAGCTGATAAGTGCGCTTGCGATGATGGGTCAAGACTTCTTGACCCGTCATTGGAATCGCATTGAATCCCAGGAAATAAAGTTCTTCTGCGCTTGCGTCGATAGATCAAGACTGCTTTTCCCGCAGCTGGTAAGTACGGGAGTAATGGAAGATAGGGAACAGCATTATGAGTTAAGAGATGATTAATATGACTAGTACAAATAAATCTAAATGCATTTGATAGGAAACTGATTGGGACTCAGGTGCATGTACAAATTAGGCGATTATACGATTTATGAAGACAAGATTTATAATTAACTACGTATATTTTACAGGGAGGAAGAGGACATCGAGGGCAGAAGGTAAATATGACATTTATTCTTAATTTAAAATAACCATAATAGCTGTAACCAAGAACACTGACATACTTGCTTACCTTACTATTTGTAATTTGATTAACAATGTAAATGATACTGTTTTCCTAACAGGGTCATGCCGGGGAGCATGGTATCAATGGAATCAATGGAGAACAGGTAATTATTTTCTGAAATCAATTTTAACAGATAAATCTCTTGCAAACGGGATATAAATATTTATACAGTGTCTTGTTTTTTACAGGGCAATCATGGAATTCCTGGATCCTTGGGTGAAAAAGGCTATCCTGGGAATCTGGTAAAATCCTTACTGTCATCCTTTAAATAACGTCCTTCAAGCTAACGATGGTGACGAAAATCCATTCAATGCAAAATTGCTTTGTTTCCATCAGATGCAATGATCAACGGATATCTCGCATTGAACAAACAGCTCACCAAACCAGTCATGAAAGTTGCCTCAAAGACCAGACAAATTTCATGAAAACAAAATATTGGTATCATTACCTGAAGGGTGGGATTAGACACAGGAACGTAGGATTGTACAGGATCTCAAAAGACCATTGCACTTCACTTGGTCAAAATAATCCTATACCACTACAACTCTCATACCCTTCAATCAAAATAGTGATCTTTTCCCTTTGGAAATTATGGTCACAATCTGCTACTTTCGTCTCTCCAAAGAATCTATTCCACATAGTCACCACTCTCTGTGTAAAATAATTAAATCTGAAGTGCCTGTTCACCTTCTGTCTTCTGAGTTTGACTCTGTGTCCCTTTGTTCTTCAGACCCTGTTAAAGATATTGGGATTCAGTTTCTTTATACTCTTTAGGATATTGGATCGTTCAACAAAATCTCCTTGAACTTTCTATTATTTAGTAAGAATATTCCCAACTTACTTTGGATAGGTTTGCTGATATTGAGGGATTCAGATAATATTGTAACAGTGAAATTTGAGTAGCTGATCCAAATATCATAATTTTCCATGTGTGTTAATGTCTTGTGACAAACTCCACCTTATATTTCACAACGCAAAGCCGAGAAATAATTTTGCATCTGTCCCAACTTTCAGCTGGGACACAGAATTCCAAGTGAACCATGTGCTTTGATTTAATATACCACATCCTGTATGAATGCCAGACCCATATTATTTTTATTGCACAAGCCACTGAGGACTATTTAAGTGATTGTGCTGTACAACAGATTTTTATCTCTCCTTTCAGTGAATTACACATGTCTTTGTGGAGTATTTATATTTATAGTTATTTTTTCCACTCATTGCATTCAGTTTTCAAAGGCCACATCTTTGTCCCTCCAGCTGGACAAGCAAGCAGGAAGTGTACTTCCTTTTGGGCTACTACAAGATGTGCCTCTGACAACTCTATGAGTTTTCCCTGTAGACTACAGGTTTTTAGGTCCATCTATGGGTCTACAAGGGAAGCTCAACAGGCTTCGGGGGAAAATATTCTAGAACAGAGATCGCATTGGAGTTTTTAAAAATGTGTACAGACTAAATGATCATGTCGAACACTGACCAGTCAACTGGGATGTTTCATTTCCATCCAATCCCCAAGATATATCAATCTACTGGCGTGTTTCATTTCTGATTGGCAGATCATGTGGGTTGAACCAAAATGAAACATGTAAATGACTGGTTCATTTCACGCATGATCAACCGATGACAAAATTTAAATTAAAAATTTATGGCGCTAACAATCTACAGTTCTTTTAACAAATCAACATTTTTTGCTGAACGTCTACTGTTTTTTTGTTCTGCAAGGTTAGCAGGTATGAAAGCAGCTGGAAGTGACCAACTTTCAATTATTCAATTTCTTGCTGTAGCAAAGCAGTTGTTCTCATTATAAATGAATTCCAGCAAAGCTAATTATTTCACTAACCAGTGAAATTTCATCCCCCTAGATTGCTGATTTGCGTATATCGGTATATTTATTTGGGAGGTGTGTGTTTATAATGGGATTTTCTCAAAGGTTTTAACAGCTGCAGACAAGGGAATAATAATACACACAATGTCATTATACACGACAAGTCCCATTAAGTCTGTTCATTGACTCTCACTGATTGTTTGCTTAAACTCAAGAAAAAGGAGGGTGGCTGAAGGCGCGGTCGAAAAGAAGGGTCTTGAGAAGTGCCTTGAAGGAGACAAGGGAGGCAGCAAAGTAAAGGGACTGTGGGATGGAGTTACAAAGTGTGGGGGCAGAGAGACTGAATGCCTGAAGGCCGATGGTGGGGGCAGGCCAGGCAGGGAATGTAGAGCAGGCCTGCTGAGTGGAGGAAGCAGACAAGATGACATGGCGTTACCAGGTCACAGAGATAGGAAGGAGTAAATTGTCTTGAGATGCTGAATAGATGCTGAACCTCAGAAAATTGATCTATCACGTCCAATTTCTAGGGTAAGAGAGGCCCACCAGGAACTCGCGGTGAACGTGGAGAGCAGAATGCACGTGGAGATTCAGTAAGTACCTCTGACAGTGAGCCGGGCAAAGTCTTGGTTTGTGAAAATGATTGAATGCTGTTGGGTTAAGTACAGACATAAGTGATCCAACATGGAGCTACATTTTTGGTTTCTCGATCTGAGAGTATGGAAACATGTACTGTGGGACAATTGGTGAAATTTATCCATAACTAAAGGCATCAAAATAATGTTTTATTCTCTGTGCAGGAAGATTGGAAATTCAATTGGTTTTTACCAACTTCCTTCTAGCAGTCAAGACGTTTCTATTAAACTTGTCAGTTTTAGTTTCCCCCTCAGATGTTCACTGTAAAAAGAGGGAATTTTGACCTCTTGCAGTTTTGGTGACCTCTGCATCCATGAAAACGTGTCCAGGCTTGCAACTCTACCAGCTGCAGAACATGTTTAGTTGGAATTTTTATGCCTACAACCAAGAAAAGCTAGTCCAGGTTGTTCATGAAAGCTTTCCAGCTTTGGGGAAAAAAGTAAGGAATTGCTATTAAGGTAGTGGCTCTAGTAGAGCAGCATAAGATGCATCAGCATAAACATCATTGGACGGACTGGCCTTTATCTGTGCTTTAAGTTCCACAAGATAATCCACTTCAGGATTTTGAACTCAGAGTTTAGATTGACATTCCACTGTATGCGGGGGGGAGTATTGTATTGCGGGGTGTGTCTCCCTTCAGAAGAGATATTGCTGTGCACAAATTGGCTGCCGCATTTACCCACAAACCTCACAGTTACTTCACTTTTACAATATATTATGAAGCATTTTGGGACGACCTCCTGACATGAAAGACGCTATACCAAATGTAAGGATTATTATTATTAATAAACCAAGGTCCTGGCTAGTTTTTCAAGCAGATGTTAAAGATATTTAAGGAAGGAAGGAAGTCTTGTCTTGTGTCCTGGTCAACAATCCCCAAATAAAAATTGGTCACTCACTTCATGGCTGATTCTTGACATTCATATGAACAAATTGACTGCTGTGTTCATCTGCAAATACACAGTCATTACACTTTACATTAAAATGCTACGATGGGCTTTGAAACATCACGACGATGTCATACGATGCTATCTCAAAAATGCAAGGATAATTATAATTTATTTTTACAGAAATAGTGTCCAAATGATATCACTGTTGGCACATTCTTTGTAAATTAGTTACAATGTTTTCTATGTTTATTCAGCATTGTATTACATGAATGCTTTGGAAGTTCTAATCTAAACCAGAAATATTTTACTTTCAAAGCCTCGTCTTGTATCTTGAGTGTTGATGAGTGCATGCCTTAAAGAGCTGTTTATTCCTTGGCAGCTGGTGCGATGATGTGTGTGAGTGCAGCAGCCTGTGACTATGCTGACAGAAGCATCTTGATTGTACTGGTGTCCATATAGAGTGTTGTAAGACTGAAGATCAGGAGGGACTCAGTTGAGACAATCTATGGCTTGTGTGAATGCATTGGAATAGGCGTGGAAAGCCTGCCGTTCATCTGTTGATTTGCCTGAAACAGTTCTTCTTTGTTCACACAGTATAGCCACCTGTAAGGTTACGTTGCATGCAATGTAGATAGATTTAGTGTTTCTTTTCTAATTTTTTCCCCACTCTGTATTTGGTTTGACCTCCTCTTGCTGTTCTGTGGGTTTTGGCTGCCCTCCAGTACCTCACCATTCTTCGTGTGTGAACATTGGCAATGAGTGTCGGCAGACCCCTACTGTGGAGGGCATCATAGCCGAATGTGACCTTTCACACACCGCTGCCACAACTAGTAGAGGGTGCAAAAGAGGGACCAGAGGTGGGAGACCTGGCTGATTTTCCACTCTTTAATCCTAGGAAGTCTAGGGACAATTTAGTCTCATCAGTTCAGTAGAGGCCTAGACCAACAAACTCCGCATCGAGTTTCTGTTGTGTTATCGAATGAGATAAAGAAACCAGCAAACTCCTGTCATTCTATCGCAGAAATAGCTCTCTCCCATGCAGTTTTGGGGTTGCGCCACTCTGTGCTGGTTTTAATCAGTTCATAAACTCCATAGGTTTTGACCAAACTCCATTCTTAGCATGCAAGCCACCACTGAAAATAAGAGCTCATTGATAGAACTGACTGATCACTGGGTAGTACTGAATTCTCCATTGATGTGTTTAAGAACAGATGTTGACCCACTTGTTCTTCCTATTCAAGGGTGAACCTGGAATTGATAGTACTATTCAAGGTCTAAAGGGAGAACGAGGAAACATAGGCCCGCCGGTATGTTCACTTCACTTATCTTTTACATCAGAGTTTATATGTTTAGTAATTTTTAATGATTTTTTAAATAAGTTATTTTGACCCATAAGATATGGATTGGATTTAATAATATTGTTCTGCAGATGTTTAATGCAGTTGTGACTCTCTATGTAATATGTAACAAAGCAATGCTCAGTTTAAGTGTGAGTTTTAGTCATAGTGATTTCAGTCCACAAACAATCGATTTATAATGTGGAGTACATGAGGGAGAATTGAAGAATGTGTGTGTCAGTGCTCCAAGATGCTATCTTGTGCGAAGTTACTGTGCAAGTTACTGTTGCTGTTGTTTTTGTGTGGAGTGAAAGGCTAGGCAGAGGCATTAAGATGGGTAGAGGCTGATGTGGAGGATAATATTGGCATGGACCAGTTAGGCCAAATGGCCTCTTTCGATGTTCTAGATTCTATGTCTGTCAATTAAATTAGAAGCTACAGAGGAGATATTCTGTTCAACTATTACAGCTCCATTTAACAGAAGTTCAGGACTGTTTCTGCTACTGTTTATCCTATTGTTACTGAACAAGGTGTTACACATGCAGAGCTGGAATAACACAGAAAACTGTTTTTACAGGGTGATCCAGGAACTGATGGTACTCCAGGAATACGTGGTCCTGTAGGAAACCCTGTAAGAAAATCTCCACTACCTTCGATCAGAGGGTTACAATTACACAGTAGTTGATTTCATTATTAGATGCTGGCCTTCGGGTGAGATATTAAATCAAGGACGCTTCTGTCCAGATGGATGTTAAAGCTCCCTGTGATGCTATGTGAAAAAGTAAAGGCAGTTTCTCAAGAGTCCTGGCTTACAATCCTCCAGATAAAATTGATGGTTGACTTCATGACTGATTACGAGACATTGATTGATATGCACCAATTGACTACTGCTTTCACCTACAAACACATCTTCATTATACTTTAAAGCAATTCCCTGTGAGGCTCCTTGACACATTTTGATGATATAGGCAGTATATCACGTGCAATGATTATTTGTTCTTACTTATTTTAAAATAATCTCATACCATCAGTGGTAGAAGACATAAGAATAGGTGCCAAATGAGATGAACAACTATTATTTGTTGAGTGTGGTTGAAGCAAGTAACATCAATATAGAAAAAAATTGAATGGAGACATGAGGGAGAAGACAACAGAGGGGTAAAATTGAGGGCATAGGATGATTGGGGACTCATGTGGGGTATAAATACTGACGGAGATTGGTTAGGCTGAAGCCTGTTTCAATGCTGTATCACTCTAAATAACTCTTATGTGCTCTGCTTCTGAAGTGGTGGGGGCAAAGAGAAGTGTTGCCTGTTGAAGAAAATAAGGTCAGGAATCAATAGTAGGGATGGATGTACTGTATATTCTGAAATTTCTGTTTTATCTTTGGGGTTCAGGAAATCGCTAAACAGAACTTTCTCCAGGGCATGAGGTCCATGGTAGTTTTTTCTAAGCTAGAAGGGCTGATGGGCATTGATGTTACAAACGATTACCAAAATGATTGATTACAAATTTAATATCTTCCTTTTGCTTCAGGGAGTAGAGGGTCGTAGAGGACAATCGGTTGCCCAGGTGAGTTCTGTTCTGTTCTACATTCCTACGTTGCACGATGTTAGAAGTTTAGTTATTGCACCCTGTGTAATGCCAAGTTAAGCCTGGACAGGATTCCAGTGAAACTCTGAAACCTGGAAACTCTGCAGAAAGAAATTTCCTTGTTATCAAATGATGTTTATCTCTTGACCCGCAGGGAGAGAAAGGCCAGCGCGGTGACAGAGGTCGTAAAGGTGATCCAGGAACCCGAGGCCTACCGGTAGGAATCAGTAACAATTACTGTTTACAAATACCTGTGAACGCTCACTTTTCAAATACTGTAAATGAATTTACTCAGACAACTTTGTCTCATGTTCCAATTTCCCTGTTACTTGTGCAATAATGGTCAAATCGGATGGCTGAGCAAAACAAAGGTTAGACTGGATGTTTATTAAGATGAGGCTTTTTTTGGTTGAATGCAAAGTTGCATTAAATGGATACTGGGTGTTTCTTGTTATTTCAAGACAAGATGCAAAATCTGACTCTCTCATCTAGAAAGGAGCACTGAGGTTGAATGCTACATTTTTCTCGTTCTCCGGTCCCTCTGAATCTTGCAGCTTCTTGTCAATGTGACAAGATTGTACATATGCATTCAACTATGCATCTATGTATACTGTATTTAAATACAGATATTTTGTAATTTTTATCTGCCAAATCTAAAATGTAATATAACCCTAATAATTTATTGAATGTCTCAACTATTGGTAGTTTTTGTAGCTGTTAATAGAATTTCACCATGTTGGGTATCACATAGAGATGGGAGTCACTTCACTGTCTTACGTGACAAACCAGCTTGGGATGTTTCTCATCTCTAAGCTAGATCACCATCCTTCCCAGTTCCAAGTTTCAAGCCCACTACACTGTTAGTGCTTGTAGGACTTGAGTACACTGTCAGTGCATCATATGCTCACTTACTCCACTTTGAAAGCAATGAGTGATTGATACTATTCACGTTGCAGGGGCAACCTGGTGGTTCTGGGATTCCTGGTCTTAGGGGAGAGCAAGGACATCGTGGTATTCAGGTTTGTATTCCAGATAAATCTTGGCGTCACTTATGTGAAGGTACATTGTATGATCATCTTTGTCAAATTGCAAAAATTCCCGAGAGACAATATAGAGGATATAGGTTAACTTAGCTTCTGGATGAATGTGAAGCATATGTCAGTCGTTCCTGTGTTTCTCTCCGCTTGTTCCCTGACTGGTGGTTACAGTGAGGAAAGGGGAAGTAGAAATGTAGTTTAAAACTATAATATTCTGAAGGATTTCAATCTAGAAATGTAAACTAATAATTGTTCCTATGTTTTATTCTATTTTTTTCAATAAATTATTGCTTCTCTGCAGAGCTCCTCCTCAGGGTCTCCTTGAAGTTAGGCTGAACTGGCTCCAAGGTGATATGCTTGACAACAGAATGTCAGATTGAGCCAACCATCTGTGGTGGTTTGGCACATAAGGCAGGTGGGTCCACAGTACCCCAGGGCACTGCTGATGACAGCATTGATAGATTCAACTTGGAAGGGCAGACCAGTCACAGGTAGCAGGGATTCTTCCCACAGAACCCTGCAAGCCAAAACCATAATGGATCCGGTGGTCTTAGCTGGAGAAGCAGCAGGAAAGCTTGCTAGACAGTGCTTTCAATGACAGCTATATTATTTTAGCTGGTTAGACTCCAGAGGTACCTCAACACACACTCGGGGGCCCCCAAGTTTTGCCACTTGCCAATTTACATCATCAACCTCTCCCTGTCATCTGGCACTGTTCCTACCCTCCTCAAAACAGCCACTATCACCCCCACCTTGAAGAAACTTTCCCTTGACCCATTACAGCTATCTAGCTATCAGCCCATCTCTAATCTCCCCTTCCTATCCAAGGTCCTTGAGAGAGCTGTTGCCTCCCAGCTTCGCTCTTTCCTCTCCTCTCACTCCCTCCATGAACCCCTCCATGTCGGTTTCCGTGCGTCCACAGCATGGAAACTGCTCTGATCAAGGTCACAAATGACATCCTGACCATGTGTGACCAGGGCTCCCTCAGCCTCCTTGACCTCTTCGCTGCCTTTGACACTGTGGATCATTCAATCCTCCTCCATCGCCTCTCCTCCTACCTCAACCTTCAAGGTTCTGTCCTTGACTGGTTCAGGACTTACCTTTCACACCTCCTCCACTTCGTCGCAGCAAATGGCTTCTCCTCCAGCCCCCGCACTGTCTCGTGCGGTGTTCCTCAGGGCTCTGTCCTCAGTCCCCTCCTCTTCACCCTCTACATGCTCCCCCTTGGTAACATCATCCGCAGACATGGGGTAAATTTCCACATGTTTGCAGATGACACCCAATTCTACCTCTGCCTCCACCCTCAACTCCAGGACTACTGGGGTCCTGACCGACTGCCTGTCCAACAAGTTCTGAATGAGGGACAACTTTCTCCAATTTAACGTCAGCAAGACCGAGGCCCATCTGATTGGCTCACGCCAGCGCCTCCGCACCTTGGGCGCTGGCAGCATCAGCATCCACGTCTGCATACTCAACCTCACTAAGCCAGTAAGGAACCTGGGTGTCTTGTTTGACCCTGAACTGTCCTTTCTCCCCCCACATCCGCGCCATCACTGGTACTGCCTACCACCACCTTCGCAACATTGCCAGACTCCGCCACTGCCTCACCCCTCAGGCTGCCGAGACCCTCATCCATGTATTCGTTACATCAAGGCACGATTACGGAAACTCCCTCTTCATCGGCCTTCCCAACTCTTCCCTTCACAAGCTGCAGATCATCCAAAACTCTGCAGCTCGTGTACTCACACACACCGGGCTCTGTGACCCCATCACTCCCTCCCTCGCCCGACTTCACTGGCTCCCCATCCCCCAGAGGATTGAATTCAAGATCCTCGTCCTCACTTTGAAGGCCATCCATGGCCTTGCCCCCTCCTACCTCTCTGACCTGCTGACTCCCTACCAACCTGCCTGCTCCCTCCGTTCATCAGGCTCCGACCTGCTCTGTCTCCCGCCCGACCCGCCCTACCATCGGTGGCCGGGCTTTCAGCCTCTCTGCCCCCAAACTCTAGAACTCCATCACACGGTCCCTTCGCCTCGCTTCCTCCCTTGCATCCTTCAAGGCCGGTCTCAAGACCCTTCTCTTCAATCGTGCCTTTGTTCGGCCTTCCACCTCTCTGCCTTCCCTCACCTCTGCATCACCCCTCCCCCATGGTCGGGTCCCGACCCCTGACTGTTCAGTGCTCTGGGACATCCTCCCGATGTGAATGGGCTCCATAAATATAATTTTTTTGTTGTTGTTGTTTACACCTAATACTCTCTAGTATCAGATAAGTGGGATGCGACCCTCCAGCGAAACCGTGCATATTCCATTCCGAACACAGGAAACTTTCTGTGCAGGTGGCATAGATATATGGAACTCTCAGTCTGGTTTGGATGCTGGTTTGGTGATGGGTTTCAACATGTATTAGCCGCTCGTCTGATGAAAAGAAAATGCTTAATGAAAATATAATTTAGTACAAGAAGCATACCATGGATGTGGCAATTGATAATCCCACTCAAATCTTGCGCATCGCGGAATTCACTTCACCACATCCCAGATTGCAAATGTTGTCTTAGTGTAATATTTCTGGAAGACTTCTCAGTCATTCAAGTCCGAGCAACAGCATTAAACTTATTTTTTAACAAAAACAGCTGCAAGGGCAGCACCTGCGACTTGTTCACAAAGTAAATTATATGTTTCTAGTCTTCCTGTCACTTGATACACCACATCATTAAGTCTGGACAGGGACAATAGCCAAGTTACCATGAGTTAATCATACATGTCTTTCACACTATACTGTATGAAAATAAGAACATTTTGGCTTAAAACATTGTAGATTAAGATGAATGGATCTGACTTGCTCATGTAAATACTGTGTGCCTTTGCCAAGTCGTACTTAAACATGAACATATAAACATTAGCACGTTCTTTAAACCAGAATGTGTTCCAGTAGTAAATCAGGGACAAGTTCAGATAGATGTGAAATCATACATTTGGGAGGAAGAATAAGGAGAACAGGTATTATGTCAGGTGGTAAAATACTAAATGGAATGGAAGAGCAGAGTGACTTAGGGGTTAACTTCCCATGCCATGTACCAGACTTACCTGGCACCAACTTCTTAATCTAGGCTCTCATTCGAGGTTGCCTTGGCAAATAGATGCGTTTGCTGTAGCAAGTGAGATTAGATAGTTTTCTTTTAAGAAATGACACTACAATACATAGGAAGTTTGGGACATATGTGCATGCAATTACCAGGAAGGTGGAAGGTGAACTAGATGGACCTTGGTCTTTTATCATTTAGAATTTCTTATGTTCTTATGCTGTGAAACCGCTTTCACCTCCAAGGTGCTTAGCGACAGGTCAGTGTAGACCTGAGCCCTCCCTTCCTGCAGCCGCTTCCCGTGTTTGCCATAAATCCACCTTACTGCTTGATCGTGGATCAAATAGATTGGAGGAATCCCCTCTGCTCCGCAGGAGCTCAGATCCAAAGGAGGATGGTTTGCAGACAGATCTTGTATGCCACAAGCTTGACCTGCATTGGGAACTTGCTGACCTTGAGCAGGGATGAACATGACCAGATTGCCTTTTGACCCTTCTCATCGCAGTCCTTCAGGACAGTGTCCAAGTTAGTGTCCACCATGACCCAGAGGTACTGATAAGAGACAATAATTTGGACTGATGTCCATTGTACCATCCAGTCAATACCCTCAATGGCTTCTCTTGGGCTGTGCAGAACCATGATTCCACACTTGGGAGCTACCCGCCACTATGTCCATAACATGATCCCCATCAAGGAGAAACAGCTGTTGTGCTAAATCCCCATCAACGAGAAACAGCGGCATCTGCTGACAGAAAGTGAATACTGTATGAACAAAATCCAGAATGCTGGATATATCTTTTACAAATAAGGCAATGGTGTGGAAATTGTGACATTTCATAATATAATTCTCACTTTGAATCTGTTATGAAATGTCGTACTTTTTCATCCATTCCTAAAGACTACCCAAGGAAATGAACACCAGGCAAAGTCGGCCCAATGATTTGATCTGAAGCTTAATTTAAAAGAATGGATGTAAACAACAACAATAAAAACAACTTGCCAATACACAGAGCAGCGTTTCAGTGTGCTTAACGTTGGAGGAGCCTGACCCTGAGCCAGGGGGAGGGGACAAGTGACTGTAGAAAAGTTCTCAGAGGAAGGTCTTCAAGTGTGATCTGAAATTGAAAAAGGAGTAGGCAAGGCAGAGGGACTGAGGGACAGAGTTCCATAATTTTGGGGTGTAATGGCTGATAGCACGGGTGTCAGTGGAGGGGACGAGGGACTTGCAGGAGGCTGGAGCTAGTCGAGCAGAGGCAGTTGGTATAGAATGGGGATGGTGGAGGATGGCATGATCAACTGATCAACTATGTTAAATGCAGCGGACAGGTCCAGGAGGACAAGGAGGCAGAGGGAGCTCTGGTCACACAGAGAGAGGACGTCATTAGTGACTTGTACTAAAATCAACAGCACAAGTCACTAATGACTCGCTGTTAACCTGGTTGCTCCCGTTATCACGTCTTGCAGAAGTGTTTTTTGTTCTTTGTGTAATCATTGACCGTGGAACAATAAATAATAAAGGAAACAAAGGTTCAACATCCAAATTGTGCGCACATCATTTCATCACTAATAATAATAATAATAATCCTTGCATTTGATATAGCGCTTTTCACGTCGGGAGGACGTCCCAAAACGCTTCACAGAACACACTGTAAAGTGAATTGACTGTATATTTGTGGGCGAACGCGGCAGCCAATTGTCCCACAAACAGTTGTAGATTGAAAATGACCAATTTATTATTGTTTTTTTTTGTTTTTTGGAGGGATTATTATTAGGCGTGTGGAGTAAGGAAACTTGCCCAAGGTTTCGCCCTGACCTGCCTGGAATTGAACTCAGGTCTCTCGCTTATAAAGCAAGTGCTCTAACCATTGAGCTACAGGACTCCTAATTAAATAATAAAAATAAAGTTTCCTTACACATACCTTCAGTTCTTGCTTCCATAATAAAAAATCCAACATTTTTTTGGCCATAATAATTGTGGGATTATAAGTATAGAACAAAAAGTTTGTTAGCATTAGTAAGCCAATAGTGTGGTTGGAAATTCCCTTTGCAACTCTCAGTTTGACCTAAACCCTTGCAAAACGCATAATAGCTAGTTGCGAAGTACAGCATACAATTTTTCTTGCCTCTGAGGCTAGTGACTTTGATAATGAATGACAGGTACTCATGCTAATCAATGCATTTTTTACCATTCATATGACAGGGTCCACCAGGGATTCCAGGTCCTGATGGGGAGATTGGCAACTCTGGAGTCAAAGGACCAAATGTAAGTCGTGCAATGTATTTTTAGTCAGCCCACTCTAGTGGAAAACATAGAAATATGCATTTATTTATTGTTTTCAAAGTTAATAAAATTATGTGTAAAGAATATGAAATATGTGTGTCAGTTGGCTCAGTGGTAATGCTCTTGTCTCTCAGTCAGAAGGTTGTGGGTTCAAATCCCACATCAGGACTTGAACTCACATAGTCTAAGAATGACACTCCATTGCAGCGCTGGGAGAGTTTTGCATTGTCAGAGGTGCCTTCCTTTGGATGAAAAATTAAACCAAGTTTAATGGTGCACATTGGTGGAATGGTGTTCAGGTCGACATTAAAGATCCCATGGCTTTACTTGAAAAGAGAAGGGAATTTCTTCTGGTGTCCTGGCCAATATAACCCCAAATAAAATTGGTCACTCACTCCATAGCTGTTTGTGGGGCAACAACAAATTATATTTATGTGGTACCTTTCATGTCAGAAGGACGTTCCAAGGTGTTGACATTGCTGTGAGAAATAGGCTGCTGCGTTTTGCCCACAAAATACACAGCCACTCCACTTTACAGCATATCCTGTGAAGCACTTTGAGATGTCTAAACGACGTGATAAGGCGCTATATCAAATGCAAGGATTATTATTATTAATACTATTATTTTGCATCATTCAGTGTTGATGAATCTTATGATCAATGAATTGCATTCAGAAAAAGAGTTCCAAACATTCTCTGGGGAGGGGCGAAATTCCTCCCTATTTCATTCCTCCTCCACCACATCAGTGTTGATTATTGATTAATGCTTTCAAAATGGTTTCACAGGGTCTGTTTGGAGATCCTGGTAAAAAAGGTGAGAGAGGACCAAGAGGAGCTCGTGGATTTGTGGTGAGCTGTTCTGCTTTTTCTTAAATGTTCAAGTTTCAGACCCGTCTTTAGACTGTACTAGTATATAAAAAATCATCAACAAAAACAAAATTGCACAAAGTTTCTTGCCCAGAAACCAGTCTGATAGGAAAGTATAATGGGCTGCGAATCAGCACGTTATTTGCAAAGCCCAAATACATAGCCACTTTGGTATAAGTAGTTCAGGATCACAGCGCAGTGACAGTGTCTATTTTTATCTTACTGGAATTTGGTCATCAGATCGGCCACTCTTCAGTAGAGTAAGCAGATTAGCAATTAAAAGATAAGTCGTTATATTGCTAAAAATGTTGCAAAGTGAGAATAATTGTACAGACTGCAAATCATACATTGATACTCAAAATGGAACAAGCTTGGAGTAATGTATGGTAAAAGTGAAACTGTTTATTGGATGAAACATCAAGGATAGTTACTTCTGGTTTGGGAAATGTGTTTAGATTTTGCAATGTCATCAGACATAAAGGAAGCGAGTGAAAGAAAGTTAAGCTACTGTTAAGTTATGGTCAAACATTATAGAATTGTTATGCGTCTGTTTTTGCACAGGGCATGGATGGCAGAGATGGATTTGGCTTTCCTGGATTAAAAGGAAAAAAGGTAACCAATTTACTGCTGATGTATATTTTAGTTTTGAAATATTTTTGTTATTTTGACTAAGCAGGATTGTTAAAGTGGTCTTTAGGTTTTAGGACCTGAATTTTACCTTGGCAAATCAGCATCAATGTTTTTTTTATTTATGCTAAGGTATCACAATGTGTTCAATGTGATAATTATCTAGATTACCTTTGAATTTGTTTTCATCTAGAGGTCATAATCTAGACTGACAATCCAATGCAATGTACAACCTTGCTAGAGGTGCCAGCCTTTGAGACGTGAAACTGCCTGTCTCATCTGCCTGTTCAGGTGGATGTTAATCTTATCTTCTCAAAATCCAATCAACATCAATAATTCTAAAATGCCCCAGCCTCCGAGAGGATATTGAGTAATTCAGATTTAGTGATAAGTGAAAACACTACTAAATAGTTTTGGCAAGGCTAAACACCAAAAGTTTAAATAATTTAGAAGTTGACATAATTTTACATTAAGATTAAAAACGTATCTTCTGGGGGAGTGCTGGATTGTCAAAGATGCTGTCCTTTGGATGATATGTTAAAGGGAGACCTTGACTGCTTGTTCAAATAGACAAGAGCTCCATGATACTATTCAAAAAGAGAAGTTAGATTCGCAATCCCCCTTATACAGTTGGTTGTTCATTTTATGGCTATTTGTGGGACTCTGCTGTGCACAAACTGGCTGCTGCATTTGCCTACAAATACATAGTCACTACACTCTACAGTTAATCTTGTAAAGCACTTTGAAGTGTTTAAACACCGTGATACATCAAATGCAAGGATTATTTGTGGAGCCATGTGGTTCAGTGGTTAGAGTATTCACCTCGTAAGCAAGAGGACCCGGATTTGACTCCCAGACAGGGCGAAACATTAGGCAAGTTTCCGTACTCTACATTTCTCTGTTTACCTAGTAGTAAGTAGGAAGTCAGTTACTTGGTGGATTGGCGGATCGCTTTCTAAGGGTAATAATCCCTTAAAAAAATCAATAATAGTAATCAGATTACTTCATCCACGACTGTTTGTGGGTCACCTCTGTGGTCAATTGACTGCCGGGTTTCATCTGCAAAATCCAGTCAGTTCACTTTACAGTATGTCCTGTGACGTGCTTTGAGACTTCTCAATGATGTGATAAGGCGCTATATTAAATGCAAGGATTATTATTTATTTATTTTAAAATAATTTAATTTTTCAGGGAGAACAAGGAAATCCTGGATATGTTGGTGCTGAGGTACTGGTAATATTTGTATAAAGATTTTTGTGTTTTCTCTTTTGTTGCCTTCATTGAGGATTGGAAGAACATTGTTTGATCTGGAATTGTTTTTCATTGGATTTAGGGAGCGGATGGAAAACCTGGAATTACTGGGATCGAGGATCGAAAGGAATCAGGGGTCGAAGGGTAGGATTTTTATTTATATTGCTTTATATTGTAAATATAGAGGGGCAGAAATGGAAAAGCTGACACAAAATCGGCACTGTAAAATGCTGCTGACTCTGTTATATTTACATGTGTGCCATGCGCAGGAAATGCCCCTGACATCATTTCCTTCACAGGAAGTTTCATCGATGTAAATCTGTGTCCTTCTCATGCCATCGATGTAAATTTGTGAAGGAAGTGCACTTCTTGTAGGAACAACATGCGGGAAGTGACGTCCACAGCGACTTGATGACCTGAATTGTGGCCATGTTTTAGTGCAGGAAGCTGATTAGAAATCACCAGTAGTTGGGGGGCAGGGGGCATTATAATAGGGTGCACCTATATAGTCACCATTTCCTTGTAACACCATTGTGCCACTTTTGTAGTATTATATGTTCTGCACATATTTTTGCTCTCTTACTAAACTCTTTCAATCCAGCAACATTGGTAACATTCTGCAGATATAATGATAGTTCCAACTCTGCAAAGTGTCTACGGACTTTCACCAACACAAAATTTGGGTGATTTTCTTTGTTGGTTGTCAGCAGAGGCAGGTCAGGCTCTGTGGGTAAATGTATAATATGGAAGCGGCATTATAATTATAATTTTAAAACTATGCAGCGTTTACCCTAATTTCTTCCATTGTGTGAAATCACTATGAGGTCCTTCGCAGTGAAAGTCAAGTTTCTTGTCAGTTTCTTTAATTTGTTGGGATTTGACCCAGATCTGTATGCAGCTGGTGATAGTGTATTTATTGGCACAACTTAATTGTATATGCAACTGTTTGTAATGTAAAAACAAATTGAGAAATGCAATATTTTCCCAGCAATTTGACATATAAACATTTATCTGAGAGAAATAGCTTTTGAGTTTCCCTATACTTGTCATTTTTGGGAATCCATACAGAGGGCACTATAGTTCCATTAAGATTGAATTCAGTATCTTTGTTTAATCCCACTCATCCCACAGTATCGCATTGAAGCATCAGTAAACAATTTGACATGACTCATTTTCGTAAATGTTGTGTGGTCTATAAAAAAAGGGTGAAATTTGCTAATCCATTTGTATATATCACATTTTTGGAAAGAGCTGATTACATAAATTAATATGTCTAAACAACTTCCTTCTGTGCTCTGAATTTCTGTTTATGTCAGTGCTTTGTGAACTTTTCAAGGTTCATGAATTCAGGCCAACTTCTTTATATTGTGCTCTTTTTTCACTGCACATCTCAAACTATACAGTGGATCTCTAGAACATCAAGGTGGCTGGATATCACAAACTGTCACCTGCCACCACGCTGAACACAGATATCTGTTAATAGGTTATGAGGAAACTCTGAGGCTTGGGAATACAAGGCGGTGGTAAGCAAGGTCTCCTTAGGGCTGATCTGGTTCCAAGTGCCTGACATGCTTGGTGAGCGAACTTCAGAATTGAGTAAACCCCTTGTGGGAGTCTCAGTAGTCTGGTAACTGAACCAGGTAAGTCCACAGTACTCCATGGCACTGCTGAAAACAGCACAGCCAGCCTGGCTCATCACCAGGACTTGTAGGGATATAGTCATTGGGGGGCAACGATTCTTACCTCTGTTAACGCTTAACCTAAAGTCCTAATAGAAAACATACTTCTAGCTGGACAAGCAGCAGGAAGCTTGACAAACAGTGCTCCCAATGGCAAGCTACGTGTTTTAGCTGGTTAAGTTCCAGCAGGATGCACAAGCTTGGCCTTCACCAACCTGCACCAAATACTCTCCAGAATTAGGTAAACAGCGTGAGTCCCTCCAGGGAGAGAGTTCACATGCAATTCCAGATACGCAGAATTTCCATGGGTAGGTGGCATAGAAATTACTCACCGTCACACCACTTTACAGTAAATCATGTGAAGTGCTTTGGGCTGGCATTATAAGCCACCATATCAAATGCCATTATTGTTATTATAATACATATGTGAAACTCTCAATCCAGTTCAGATACACTCTTAAGTACTATGATAGATTTCCACATGTGTCAGAAACCTGGCTGTCTGGGTTGAGCCAAAGTAAATCATTCTGAAGCCTCAGTCTTGATACCACTGAGGAGGATGCAGGATAAGTTGGATTTGCTTCATTATAATAATATAAACGCAGTGCATGTGAGTCAAACTGAGCTCTACTTTCCCATGACCCATTAAAGCTATGAGCTGATCCAATCAATGGCTCAAGTACTTTCTGGGTGTTTTTTTAGCCGTTTTTGTTATTGAAGGCTGGCCAGCTAATTCCAAATTAACATAAACAACATCATGATTGAAAACTTAATTTTGGCATTCCACCCCTGTACTAAACTTTTAGCAGCATCCAAGCTATTTTTAAGTTATTGTGCCCTTCTTAGAGTTATTATTTGGTGCAAAATGTAATTAATGTAAATGTTAAGATCCTAACAATTGAACTTTAAGGTTGTTTTGAGTTCTGTCTTCATAAATGCATTACTGCTTGCAGATATTCATTGAGGGCATTGAGAGCATTTTCATTCTGAATATTGTGATGCTCTTACCATTTTCAGGGTAATTCTGGTGATGCCGGTGACCTTGGTGATCCTGGCTCTCTTGGAGGTCCTGGACGAGCGGTAAGATCCACAGACACATTGGATGGTTTAATTTAGTGCCATAAGTAATAAAGAGGATCAGAAAATGAGATGCAAATGTCACATAGAACATCACTCCAACTCATGGTATAACTGTTTACCAGAGTGATCAATGCTGTAGCTCAGAGCAAATTTATTGCATGTTTTTCAGGATTTATTTCAATGAACATGTGAAAATCTACACAATTTTTTAAAAAAGAAAAAATTCCCCACATATCTTAGTTTCACAATCACCTTAGGACATTTAGTCTTATTGGTTGATAAATGCTTAATTGATAAATTGCGCTCTTGATATTAGTTGAATTTTGATACAGGGCAGTTGAAACTTTCCTCTTGTCATATTGGAGTTCGCATCAGTCGTATTTGGTCTTGTGTTTTCTGCCTGGCCTTGCATTTTCTCGCATTTTAAATACAATTTTTGCCGCTACCTGACAGATTTAACCCATTGAACATAAATCAAGGTCTGTTTTAAATTCATGGGATGGGAGGAGATGAAGTTAGGTTTGTGAAAGTCTGTATGTCTGCTGCACTGTATGGTTAAAGCATTGGAATTTGCTTTAATACTGGAAGCCAGTGAAGTCTTATTTGCGAGATGTTGAGGCATATGTATATGGAGGGAATTACAGGTGGTTTCCAGAATTAGGTAACTCAATGAAAGTATCAATGTAACTAACTACCAATGAAAGGGATACTATTTTTTGCTTCTTATTGATTCATTGGATTATTAAGCAAACTGTAACTGCTTCTAGAAGTATGCATTGTGTTAGCTTGGCTCAGTTGGTAGCGCTATTACTTTTGAGTCAGAAGGTTGTAGGTTGAGACTTGGAACTCATACAGTCCCAAGTCAAATAAGGCAAATCTGACTGTTAGAAGTGACTGATACTGCGGTATTTTAGACCATAGGCTTCTTGTGCATTAAATGACTATGATTGGTTAAATCCTCAGAAGATCAAGTAGATTTTGAGGTTATTTGGTGGATTCCACAAACTATATATTGCATATAAGAACATAGATAAGAAGAATGTCGTCTCCTCTCCTGAGGATGCTCACTTATGCGGGGAACAGTCAATGAATGTGCCTTGACCAAATGGTCAATCTTCATTTTTGATCCAAACAGTGAGGGTTGGCAGGCTTTTAGGATGCTCACTTGGGGCATCACAATCAAGTCTACCCTGCTTTCATCCCACATCCAAGACCATCACTTTAAAGCACTTTATGGAGTGGAAGGGGGAAAGGAAGGGGAAGAGGAAGGTATTTAGTAACCACGGGGTCACCTTCCACATGTATGCAGATGACACCCAACTTTACCTATCCGCCTCCACCCTTAACTCCAGACCACTGCTGTCCTGAGAGAATGTCTGTCAGACATTAAGTCCTGGATAAGAGCTAATTTTCTACAGTTTGAACATCAACAAGACCGAGGCTCCTGTGATCGCCTCCACACCTCAGGCACTGGCAGCATCACCATCCAGGGATGCACACTCCACCTCACGAAGCAAGTCCGGAGCCTTGGTGTCTTGTTTGACCCTCAACTGCCCTTTCCATCCCACATCCACGCCCGGCTCCAGCACTGCCTCTCCCCTCAGGTCATCCACACATTCATCACATCTAGGCTCGACTACGCCAACTCCCAACTCTTCCCTCCACAAGCTGCAAATCATCCAGAACTCTGCAGCTCATGTCATCTCCCATCTCCACTGGCTCCCCATCCCCCAGAAGATAGAGTGCAAAATCCTCATCCTCACCTTCCGTACCCTCCATAGCCTTGCTTCTTCCTATCTCTGTGAGCTGCTAAACCCATATCAACTTGTCCGCACCCTCTGCTCAGCAGACTCTGGCCTGCTCCACATCCTACACCCAGCCCACCCCACCATCGGCGGTCAGGCCTTCAGCCTCTCTGCCACACCCTTTGGAACTCTATCCCACGGTCCCTTACCTTTGCTCCCTTCCTTTCAAGGTGCATCTCAAAACCCTCCTCTTTGACCACGCCTATGGCCATCCTTCTACACCTACACTTTCAGGAACTGAGAATAGAAAAAAAACGCAATGAAGCAAACCAACTAGACAAGCATTATTAGTAAAATAAATAGACTTGCATATTTATTCCCCTAGTCATCTACGGGTTTCATACTTGACTGAGATTTTGCCGTGGGGTGTGAAACAAAATCTTTGAAAGATTTCATCTTTGAAATTTAAATTGTGCTTATTGTGATGCATTCGTAATGCTTTATTTATTCTTCATTTAGGGTCCCAAAGGACCACAAGGCCGAGCGGATCAGAGAGTAAGTAAACATTGCACATGTAAACAGTGTAGTTAATGCATGTGAAAGTGCTCCAAGATATGATTAATAATGGAGGGTTGTGGAATTCTGTAGCTCAGTGGTTAGAGCATTCACCTTGGAAGTGAGAGACCTGGCTTTGATTCCCAGTAGGGTGCAACGTTGGCCAAGTTTCCTTACTCTACACGCATCTGTTTACCTAACAGTAAGTAGGAAGCTGGTTGTTAGTTGGTTGGCGGATCGCTTTTCCGAGGATAGTAATTCCTTTCAAACAAAATAATAATAATAAATTGGTCACTCAATCAACAACTGTTTGTGGGACACTGCTATGCACAATTGGCTGCCGCGTTTCACCCACAAAATATACAGTCAATTCACTTTACAGTATATTCTGTGAAGGGCTTTGAGACGTCTCAAAGATGTGATAAGATGCTATATCAAATGAAAGGATTAGTATTATTAAAAATAATAAGGGTGCTACATAGATGCAAGTTGTTGCATTTGCGGACTTTATTCAAACTTTAATTTGTAAACCTTAATTTTTCTCATTTTCATCACAGTCATGCAACCTCATATCATATGTGCGAGATAACTGCCGTAAGTACACTTTTTGGAAGCTTTAAACTCTATCATACTTTCACATTTTCTTTGCAATGTTTTGTAAATAGTTTTAGAATCAGAACTGGAAGGTCCAGAACAAAGAATAGGGAAAATCGTTTTCACACAGTGGTAGAAGTTTGGAATTCTTTGTCACAGTCAGTTATCAGGGTGGCATTTTTTTTGGTCAGCCTGGTATCTGACATGTGGAAACCCATGACCATGCTTACCTAATTCTGGAAAGTATGAGGAGCAGGTTGACAAGAGCCAAGGCTTGGAAACCCCAGAGCTTACCATTGAGAGCTCTGTTTGGCAAGCTTTCCTGCTGCTTGTCCAGCTAGGACCACCTCACCCACTAAGAACATAAGAACATGAGAATTTGCTTGGTGAAAGAAGACCATGGTCCACCTAGGAACATAGGAAGAGGAGGAGGCCATTCAGCCCTTTGAGCCTGTTCTGCCATTTAATTAGATCATGGCTGATCTGTACCTCAACTAATCCTTTCAATTCCAATTTCCCGCTTTCTCCCCATATCCCTTAATACCCTAACCTACCAAAAATCTATCAATGACTTACCAAAAATCTATCACCTTCCACCAACCTGGAAGTTGCTTGACATGTTGTGTCCCAAACTATATACTGTATCCTGAGATATTATTTTCTGGCAAAAATCTACCTAATTTTTCCTTGAAACAAATGACATTTTCTGCTTCCGGTGTCCCCCATGGGAGCCTGTTCCATAAGTTTCGGCTTGCAGGTTGATCTTTGTCAGTCGATTTACCCCTGAAAACTACTGCAGAGTAGTGAAGAGCTGGTGAAACTCATCCAAGCAAAGGTGAATGTCGGGTAGCTCTTGATGTTGGCTCAAGCAGTCTTGTGCCAATGCTTGCACCAAACTTCTTCATTACTTTTTGTATATCATTGTTTTAAATGTGCAGGCTCATGGGTTATTTATTTCTTTAAAATAACAATTAACATAACATTCACAAGTTGTTGGGTTTAGAGGATGGTCAAAAATAATAATTTCCCTCTCTCTCCCCTAACTGAAAGGTGTTTTTAGCCCTGTATTATGAGGTAAACGTATAACATGGCCTCATAGAAAACCTTCAACAATTATTTTTCTGTCAGTTTCAGAAGAACCAATATTAATGAAAAAAGAAGTGTATTTACACTGTAGATCCTGATCATTAACATCTTTTCTGTTTCATTCTTTCCAACAGCTTGCTGTTCACGGAGTAAGTAGTCTTAAATGCATTTTTTATAAGCCATTTGCCATTCCTTTGAATTTGTTTGCTAATTTGAATGAATGTCTTTTGTTAATATTGATATTTTGTGTGTGTGTGTGTTGTATCAGCAGGAAGAGGATGTCCTGCATATCCCACCGAGCTGGTGTTTGCTCTAGACGTGTCTGCAGATGTCACACAAGCCGTGTTTCTAAGAATGAAGAGAGTAGTTTTGACTCTTCTGCAGGACATTAACATCGCTGAAAGCAATTGTCCAACTGGTGCCCGCGTGTCTGTTGTTACATCCAACACCACAGTACAGACTTCTATTAGATTTTCAGACTTTAAGAAAAAGAAACTGCTTCTGGACAAAATAGAACAACTAGAACACGAACGATCTACCGGCAGTCGGAAGATTGACACTGTGATGATGTTTGTGGCAAGAAACACTTTTAAGCGTGTTCGTAATGGTGTACTTGTGAGGAAAATAGCAGTGTTTATCACTAATGGTGATTCCCCAGACACCACAGCGATCTCCACAGCTGCCATGATATTACAAGCTTCCAATATTATTCCAGTTGTTATTTCTTTCAGTGCAGTCCCAGAAGTACTGAGTGCTTTTCTGGTAAGTGAAACGATTTCCCCTCATTTGTTATAGTCCAGAAACAACTAGTAATGCAGCCAAAAAATCTCCAAAGAATTGACCTATTGTGCCATATGTTGGCTCATGCTTAAGAGTATCCAAACCAAGCTGAGAATTCCATATATCGCACCTACACATGGAAATTCCAGTGATAGATCCCTGGAGTGATGCTTCCTGCTTACCTATTGTGGGAAATATTAAGCGCAGGATGGCAAAAGCCAAGGCTTGGGGACCCCAGAGTGTGTGTTGGGGTACTGCTGGAGGTTAACCAGCTAAACCCGTATAGCTTGCCATTGATATTGCTGGCTAGCGAGCTTTCCTGTTGCTTGTCCAGCTAGGACCACTCTACCCATGAGGGCTTTGACTTGCAGGGTTATCAGGAGCTGAGTGGGATGACTTCCTGTCCCCAGGTCCTGCTGATGAGCCAGGCTGGCTGTGCTGTCATCAGCAGTGCCCTGGAATACTGCGGACCCTCCTGGCTCAGGAACTGGACTACCAAGACTGGCATCGTGCGCTTAATACTTTCCACAATTAGGTAAGCAGGAAGCATTCCTCCAGGGAGAGAGTCTGTATTTTATTCCAGCAATCTATCACTGGAATTTCCACGAGCTTGATTCCGACATTCCATTGCCAAGCAAGTCACCTTGGAGCCAGTCCAGCTCCAAGGACTCTTACTTAACCCACCCTCCCCCCAGCAATCCCCGGAGAATAGTCACTGGTCACCTAACTCTTTATCCAACTCCAATCCAATTTATGCAAAAATTATGTTTCTAAATTTGCATTTTTCTTCCCATTCATTTTATCAAGGCTCAAGGTGGGGAGGAATCTGCAGTGTTTGTCCTACCCAGGCAGATGCAATCCTCCAGAGAAATGCTGCAAAATATCCGGTTATGCAGACTCTGCTATGGTATGATTGAAACGTACCAAATATTTATTTCCCGTGCAGTTTTTTAAAAAGGTTTATTTCTAAACTTTAACACTTATGTATTGCATAAAACCAATAGTGATATCAAGAACGTGTGCATGAAATCTTAACCCAACTGGTAAAGGCAGTAACCCAAGCAAGCAATATTTTTTTAAAACTAAAAGGAATGTGATTTTAACATCAGAAATGTAATCTTCTTTCACAGATGAGTGTAACCCAGATGCCTCGTGTTCATCAGCCCCTCGATCGCTTACTGTACCATTAAGCCTGGACATGGCTTTTGTTGTTGATGACTTAGAAAAACTGAATGCTGCAGAATCGAGGACAGTTCAGCATTTCCTGAGCTCAATGTTTGACACGTTTCTAAGTACCTCAGAGTCAAAGGACTCTATGCCTCATCCCAGGGTGGCTCTGGTACAACACACACCAGGTTACGCACCAAAATTTGGGGATGATCCGTTTAACCTGGAGTTTGGGATTCTGGATTATCCCACAAAATCCATAAAGAAGAGACACGTCCAAGACGCATTGTTTAAGGTGGACGGCTCCTCTAGCATTGCCAATACCATTGAGTGGAGCTTGAACAACTTTTTCTTAAATGCTCCAGATCAGAAACAGTACAAGGTTATTTTTACAATCTTTTCAGGGGAAACAAATATTTTGGACAAGAAAAAGTTAATGCAAGTTTCACGGGAAGCCAAATGTAAAGGGTTTGTAATGTTTGCATTAGCCCTTGGGAGGGGAACTAATAGCACGATCCTGAAGAATTTTGCTAGTTTTCCTTTTGAGCAACATTTACTTCGCCTGGACAGAGCACTGGAGGCTGAACTGGGATATGCACAGAAGTTTGCACTGGCTTTCCTGAATAACCTGGCAAGTAAGTGCAACACATTTGTAGGTGAAACTATCAATAGGCATTACATACTCGAATGAGACTTTTGTATAAAGGCAGCAGTTTAGACAACAATGGTTCATTCTAACTTAAATGGAATGATTTTGTAAACAAAGCTGTGTCTACAGACTCAGCCACTCCCTTTTCCAGTGAACACTGGCCTACCTCATATCCCCACCCTTATCATTGGCAGGTGGATTTTCAACCATTCTGTCCCCGCTCTCTGGAACTCCATCCCTGTGTCCCTCCTTTGTGCTTTTCCTTCGAAAGGCAAGTCTCATGCCTTTCCCTCCTGACTTATTTTGGTTCCCATACCCAGCTCAAGTACCCATCCAGCCTAATGAAAGCAGTATAAGCTCAGCAGTGATGGCCTGTTGGCTTTAACTCTGCAGGGTTGCACATAAATAAGGGACACCAGGTTGAAATATTGGATCGCTTTGGTTCTTTTAACTGCAAACTTGCGTCAGTGTCTTCAGGAAAGGGAAGAACTTTGGAGACAGTGGGAAGAGGGAAATTTGCTTTCATCTTGTGAAAAATATGCCACTGATTTCAGAAATTAAGGAAAAGTATAAGCTTGCTGTATTTTTAATGGGAGAACAATGTTGTTTACCCACACACCATTTATCCGCACGGTTCCAATGAAGACGTTGGACACGAGTCTATGAGATACCGACAAAAAGAATCACCTGCGTGAAGTAGAATTTCTTGAGAATGCTTTATGCAATCCCAGAAGGCTTCCACGCATCCTGCTACCAATGCGCCAGTAGGACATTCTTTTTGCCTTTTGATGAAGGTAAATCTTTATATTTTAACAGCGTACAGTGTCTACAGGGAACAGTTTAGGACTTTAGGGGTACACATTAGTGATATAGAGTTAGAACTTTAGAGAAACTCTCAGGTTCTCAGAAAAATACAGAGTAAAAGAGAAAACAATCAAAGAGAGAGAGAATGTGGTATGATAACGAGATGGAACAATATTTTAGTTAGCATTGTAGCCAATTTGTATTTTGCATGCTGTTCAATCATACACACTATGTGCTTATCTGCAAAGGGTTCTTGCCCAATTAGTGTGGCTTTCTACTGTAATGCTATCTTTGCCTAAGTATAATATATTTTACTTATGTTACAGCTGGAATCAACAGTTATCCACCTGCAGCTCTAGCGAGGGAATGCCGCCAACAAATAAAATCTCAAGATGCAATTGGAAAACCAGAAACGATTCCTAGTTTCAAGCAGTATGTTCGGTAGACATCCAATACAACATTTAGAAACATGATATGATTGTAAGCATCATTTTCATTGAATAACATACTATCTCTTAATTTCAGAGTGGAGATGGCAGAAGATATAGAAGATGGAGATGACATCAATAGTTATGGTAGGTGCAAAATAATAAATCTGTATATTTTCTCAAAATATTTTTTTAAATAAAACTCTGTATTAGCTAAGCATTTAGTGGAAGGTATCTCATTCAGGATATGTGCTCCTGGATAGAGCAACCACCTGATCCATTTTTCTTTCTAAGTTGTTTCCATAATTTTTTTTGGCTTAGTGTTTTCAGTCTCATGACCTTACAGGGAAAATGGAGAACAAATAAAAGAGAAAATGTTCTGGTCTGACTGCTCCTGGAGTATTGCATACAGTTCTGGTTACTGTGAAGTTCTGTGAAGCGCTTTGGGACATCCTCCCGATTTGAAAAGTGCTATATCAAATGCAAGGATTATTATTATTATTAAGTTAAGAGGCTGCCTACTTTTAGAGACAGAACAGATGAGAGAAATGAGGATGATCCCCAGTGTTAGAGGAATGAGCTATGAGCAACAATTAGTGTTGAGAGAAGACAACACAGAGGGGACCTCATAGAGGTGTATAACATTTTTAATGGGATTGAAAAAGCAGCTTAATGCTGTGATGGGACTTAGGTGGGTGTGCTGGAGGGATGAGATCAGATAGGCTAAGGGTCTCCTTCATCAGAACCAAGCTTGTGAACTTGTGAATGCAGAACAGCCTCACCCTCCTCTGTTTTATTTTAACTGAGCTAGAAACAACTAAGAATGTCCAAATGAATCCCATTACATTATTTTACATTACCCACACTGAGGTACATTTTCAAACTGACCTTTACTCAATACATAAGTCAGATGCAGCAATAGAATCAGCTGTATAGTCCTTTTAATCCTTAATTTAAAGGTAGCCAAATAACATGACATTTACAAAACTTGTTTGCTTTTCAGATGTGTGTGCACTGAATGTGGATGAAGGTAATTGCAGGAATTACATTTTGAAATGGTTCTTTAATCAAGAATTAAAAAGATGCCAACAGTTTTGGTTTAGTGGTTGTAGAGGAAATCGGAACCGATTTGACACCAAACAAGAGTGTGAAGATTTATGTCTGAAACGTGCCTGGTAAATGCTGCGGTGCTGTCTATTTTCCAAGTGAACACATCCCGAGAAAAGGATAGGTATCCTATGTACAATATCACTTCCCATTCACTCCTTTATATGAGCACATCATGTTGATCCCACTTAACACTCTGTGTCGAATGACAGTCAGGAGAATGCTTTCACAATTTTGCAAACAGATGTTAAATCTAAAATCCTAGTCCAAGCTAAATCATTCTCCCTTTACAGTACATGTTTTTAATGATCAATCCCTCCACTGCTGTATTTTAAATAGAGACAGCAGACTCCCACAGAAATTTAAATCGGTCCACTTAAAATAGATTTTTGTTATGTACTTCCTATTGATTTTGAATACTAAATGAATGATTTAAAAAAAGTCACAATTAAGAACATTTCCAGTGTTTATGTAAATCTGGTTAAAAGAATAGTCGTAATGCAAGTGCAAAATGTACTGGGAATCTAGCCATTCATTCTTTTTTATATGTAAATATTTTTTAATATATATATGACATTTATAAATGGGATATTTAAGGAGGCATTTTCAAGTGGAATCAGTACTCAGGATAATTAAAAGGATTCTCCAGTGAGTGTAAAGGTTCAAACTCAACTGTTGGTTGTTGACGGCCATATTAATCTCTCCCTTTTGGTTTTCCTCCCAACATCATATCTATTAGAATAATTTTCTGGGCATACTGCTGGCACAAAGGGCATCCCCATTAACTTTTGTCTTGCCTAAAGTCTTTATTCAAAGCAACAAACCGGCCAGTGAGTCCTCGACAGCAAACTGGTCACTATTTCAAGTGAGGCAAACACGGTGTTCCCCACACATACCTTAATTGTGAGCCACCCATCGTATTGTTATTATTATTGCGGAAAAACAATTTAGTTCCTGGGAAAGAGGAAAGTATCGGGGAAGGACTTGCCAGTAAGATTACCAATATGTCCTGTTCAGTTAATTTTGAATCCACAGCCTATAGGGTATTCCTTTAAAATTGCTAAACGCATACTACCCAATGTAATTGATTACATTGGTGTACTATCCATTTATTTTGTATGGTGCTTTGCTGGTGCAATCGAATAATATCAAAGAATAAAATGTTTTGTATCTATTGGACTTGAAGGTTGTTCCTATTTCTCATATTTGTAACATTTTGATCCAAGTACATTTGCTTTGCCTTCAGCCAAGTGTGATTATTCTCTGCTCAGGGTTGGGTATTTAGTTTTTTGATGCCTGGAACAAGTCATTGCTTCCCAGCTTTGTTCCTTCCTCTCTCTCTATGAACACCACCTCCAATCGGGTTTCTGTTCTGCCCACAGCACAGAAACAGCCCTGGTCAAAGTGACAAATGATATTTTGTCCATTTGTGACCAGGACTCTCTCTGTCTCCGCATCCTTGTCATTGTCACCTAGGAGTCAGTTCAACTTCTCACCCCCTCACCCCCCCTCATTAGTTGGTCATTTGACATCTGACAATTGCAGGTTTGAGGCTTCACGAGGAGGATGGCAGGTCCCAGAAACTTGTGTCTTTCCCAGTGGGCAACACATCTCAGCATGAAATGCATTAGAGCATTACTACCACCTTCCTGCCCACAGCTCAGGCACACATATTCCTACCCATTGAGCAATGGACGTATGAAGCTTGAGCAGACTCCAGTAACTCCTTCCAGCAGTTGACATCTCAAGCCTCAGAGTTTCCTCATCAGCTATCTGATGGACATCTCCCTTCAGCATGGTGGGAGGACCTTAACAGGACAGCTTGTGATGTGCCAGCACCCTGATGTTCTCAAGGTCCAAGTCCACTGCTGCCTACTAAGCTTACTCAGCACCAGGTCCTTGTGTGAGGGGACTTGGCAAATAGACATGCCCACTATGCCTTCACCCCCAGGGTCCTCAACAACAGGTCATTGTAAGCCGGTGCCCTCCCTCCCTGCAGCCACTTGCCCTGTTTGCCACAAATCCACCTCACCGCTTGATCCTGAACTTTGCAAATGGGCAAAAGAAAACCCCTCCATTGCACCCCTAGGATCTCATAACCATAAAGTAGAATTAGTTAGATACATGTCTTATACACCACAAGCTTAACCTGCATTGGGATCTTGCTGTCCTTCAAGATAGAAGAGAATGTCCAGAGTGCCCTTTGGTCCTACTTAGTACAGTCCTTGAAGATAGTATGTTTGACATTTAGTACATTTGACATTTATGATATTACTAATTTTTCATTTCAGCTTGGCTCAGTGGTAGCACTCTGGTCTCTGAGTCAGAAGGTTGTAGGTTCATATCTCGTGTCAAGTCACATAGTCTAAGATGATGCTCCAATGCAGTGCTGGTGGTGTGGCGGAAGGGGGTTGCATTGTCAGAGGTGCTGTCTTTTGGATGAGATGTTAGTCCGAGGTCCCATCTACCTGTTTAGGTGGAAGTTAAAGATCCCATGGCACTATTCAAAAGGAGAAGGAGTTCAACTGGCCAACAAAAATTGGTCACTCATTCATGGCTGTTTTTGGGACATTGCTGTACACAATTGTGCTGCTGCATTTGCCTTGAAATACACAAGTCACTCCATTTCACAGTAAATCCTGTGAAGTGTTTTGAGATGTCTTTCCAATGTGACGAGGCACTATATCAAATGCAAGATTATTATCATTATTATTATTAGTTCCTTCAATATGCTGCTCAACATGGCCAACTTGCAAATCCTAACTTCTAATTTTTTAAATGAGGTGGAAATATGGAGTCCTGTAGCTCAGTGGTTAGAGCACTCGCCTTGCAAGTGAGACACCTGGGTTCAATTCCAGGCAGGGTGAAACCTTGGGCAAGTTTCCTAACTCCACACATCTAATAAGAATTCCTTCAAAACCAAAAACAATAATAAATTGGTCATTTTCAATCCACGACTGTTTGTGGGACACTGCTGAGTGCAATTGGCTGCCGCGTTCGCCCACAAATATACAGTCAATTCACTTTACAGTGTGTTCTGTGAAGCGCTTTGGGACGTCCTCCCGACGTGAAAAGCGCTATATCAAATGCAAGGATTATTATTATTATTATTATTATTATTCTGTGAAGCGCTTTGAGACGTCGAGAAGATGTGAAAAGCTCTGTATCAAATGCAAGATTATTATTATTATAAATATATGTCTTAAACTAGCAATGTGGTGTTGTAAAGAAGTTACCTTTGGACTGAGACCAACTGTCCAAATATTCACACAAAAAACACACTGCCACTCCACCTTACAATATATCCTTTGAAGTCCTTTGGGATGTCCTCCTATTGTGAAAAGCACTATACCAAATGCAAGAATTATTATCATTATAGATAGATTATGACAAAGATACAAAAAATGACTGAAGGTAGGAACAGCTATAAAGAAGTGTTGGTGGACTTTCCAGTGGGATTAACAAAAATATAATTTGTACTTGAGGACAATGTCAGGAACAAGGCAAACCTTTTTACATTGGCATATAATGGTGTAAACCAACTGTTTTGTCAATAATAGACAGATATGGATAATTATGCTAAATTCATCCTGGGATCATCCTGGGATGTAGAAGAAAACCACCTCAAGATACACTAACTTGAAGCATTTGGCGAAGGAGATTTTGGGATGAATGAAACATAAAAGTTAGCAAAAAATGAGTGGGGAAGGGTTAGAATCCCACATTCTACTTATACCTGAGCAGTAAAACATCATTTTACTTTTGTGGGCTAATCTGCTCAACACACCAACATGGGACAATTAGGCCACCAATGTATAACTTGTAATGCCATTGGAGAAGATAACTCACAGACCAATGAAGCTGAAATTAACTTCAAATCAATTAAATTCAATGACCTGATCCTTGTTGTAAAATTATCTTCCCTTGTAGCGCACATGTTGTCATTCAGATCATAAGGAGAATCTGCAGTATGTATCTGGCAAATATTTATTTTATCTGTTACGACATCTATCTTTTGCATTTGTTATTATCAATAAATAATAAATGTGAAAGATGCGCGATGTTATGCCAGATAAAATAATTGAGGTCCAATCATTTTGGCTCAGTAATGATTTCTGTTATGTAGAGAGCAAAAGGTGAAATCTCTTGGAATCAAACCAATATACTTGGGATGAAGCTGTAAGTATGTTAGCAAAAACTGAGGATGTGGAGAGATCTGAATGTGCAGATGACTAGGTGAACCTTGAATGTTGAGGTGAGAGGAGAGGCGGTGGAAGAGGATGGAGTGGTCCACGGTATCAAAGGCAGCAGAGAGGACGAGGAGGCAGCGAAACGAGGATAGTGGGGAAGGTGGAAGGGAGTGATTAACAACAACAACAGGATTAGATTTGTAAAGCGCCTTTCAAATCGGGAGGACGTCCCAATTTTACAACAATTTTACAACAAGGATCAAGTTACTGAACTGAATTGATTTGAATGTCTAAATTGCTTAAGTCCAAAGCAGCAACAAAAATGTGCTTGCAGAGAACAAGCAACAGATTTATCAGAGCACTGAACAGCTTGAACATGACCTCAGGAGATTTGAATTCACATTTCACATATTGACAAATTCAAGTTCACATTCCTTTGTGGGTTGTTTGCCTTGAGCCTTTAACATTTCGCATAATTTATATTTCATTCTGTTACAAGCCAATTTTCCATCCACACCGTCATTAATTCTGCAAATGTTCACCTTTGTTTCCCTTGAGCCTTCAACATTTCCCATAATTTATATTTCATTCTGTTGCCAGCTAATTTTCCATCCACACCGTCATTAATTCTGCAAATTTTCTTTACCACAACTTCAGATGCAGAACATTATTAAATACCTTCTAAACTTCTTCATTAATAATGATAATAAAAATAATCTTTGCATTTGGTAAAGTACCTTATCGCATCGTCAAAATGACTCAAAGCGCTTCACAGGATATACTGTAAAGTGGATTGACTGTGTATTTTGTGGCTGAAACCTGGCAACAGTGCTCCAATCTAAATCCGCAGACACAGGGTCAACTTCCAAGTATGCAGATAACACCCAACTTTGTGCCTCTGGCCTTGACTTCAAGACGACTTCAAGGTTTCCTGATGAGAATCAGCTGCTTTGGGTGAGACATTTTAAGGGACATCTTTTTCCACTGCATAGGCACATTTTAAGACTTTAGCATATTAAGAGGGGAATGAGGGCAACCTGAAAGACAATACTCTGCTAAGTGTAATGCGGCTACTGCTGAAAACTGCTGGGCAATTTCACACACGTGCATCGTGCTTTGGCAACATTCAATTGTAAAATATTGTCATTTTTTCTCACTTAATAATAAAATAATAATTCTCGCATTTAATATAGCACCTATAACATTTAGAACATCTTAAAATGATTCACATAGTTTCTGTAAGTACTGGTAACTGTATTTGCAGGTTATTGTGACAGCTAAATTGCAGTATCCCACAAACAGTCATGAAGATAAATGACCAATTTTATCTGAAGGATTCCTGACCAAGCCATTGAGAAGAACTCTCTTTTCTTTTCAAATACACTTTACCTATTGTCAGAATTCCTATTATTTTTCCTATGGTATTTGGCTGTCAGGGATCATTTCTGGTATGTGAAGAAAATTCCTGAATAAATATTAGCTGAGCAAAACAGATTACAGCAGTTGAAACAATATTGCTAGTGTTCTGGGGAATGTGAGCTGGAGAACAAACATTTTTGTTGATTTCTTTTAATTTGGGGAGAGTTGTAATTTCACTATGTATTGTCTTTTACCTTTTTTTCCTTACTCCACGCGCCTCTTTTCCTTGCAGTAAGTAGGAACCCAGTTGTTAGTCAATTGGCGGATTGCTTTCTGGGGTAATAATCCCTAAAAAAGAAATGCTATTACTCAATCCATGACTGTTTGTGGGACACTGCTGTGCGCAATTGGCTGCCACAATTGGCCACAAAATACACAGTCAATTCACTTCACAATATATTCAGTGAATTGCTTTGAGTCGTCTCAACAATGTGATAAGGTGCTATATCAAATGCAAATGCAAAGATTATTATTATTTTTTGGAACTTCTCTGAAACTCGAATCACTGAAACATGGTTTAATGGTTGATTAAGAGACTAGAGTGTTACCAACTGAACCAAGCTAATACCT